CTGAATGCTATTTTGGGGTCAAGAAGGATTTGTTTCCTAATTTGTGGCAAAATTGGAAGCGCTTCAGACTAGGTTTTTTGCCTTCTTTTGGATCAACAGCAACAACATATGTGAGGAAGGTTGAACTTGATGGACACAAGTCTCTTTTCAACTATGTAATTATGTAACTATGTAATGTGATCCTTCCTCATGGACTCCATTCTCTTCTTTTTTTTAAAAAATTAATAATTTCATTGGCCAGCAATGTACAGTCTCTCTATATTATCATTCCCCACCCAAAGGAATACAAAGCAGTCGCTTATGTATCAACCAATGTAAACGGAATTCCTGAACAACAAATTACTTTTATGAAGGAAGGCATAGAGATTATTTTAAATAATAATTCCTTTTGGATTTTTTTAGATTCTTTTTATCTCCAAACCAGAGGTACGACTATGGGAACTAGGTTTGCCCATAGCTATGCAAGTTTATTCATGACTGACTGTGAAAATCACATCTGATCTCATACTTTTGCCATATTGATGATTTGTTATTTATCTGGAATAGACCTGATAACTCTCTTAATATGTTTTTAGATCATTTGAATTCAAATGCTAGAGGCATTTTTTTCACCTCTGGATTCAGTAAAGAAGAGATAAACCTGTTGTTACGGCTCCCCCGGTATGCGAGGGGTTACAGCCGTATGAGACGTTCCCTTACCGAATGCAGAGGCAGCCAATGAGTGCTCCAAAGCACCGAACAATAGCCGTACAGATAAGTCAGTTTCCCAAGTAACCGAACAGCAGGTATACGAATACAATATTCCCCCGAACAGCCACCATGTGAATCAAATATTCCTCCAAACAGCCGAATACGCATACTCCATACGAATAATCCCCCCCCCAATGACGAGACACAGCTCCATATTGAGGGTCAGCAGGAATCTGGTTTAATGAGGGCTTCATGCCCGGCTTTTATGCAAGTCTCCCATCTGGTGGACACTCCCCTAGGGGACCAAATGGGGGACTGTGACAAGGACATTGTAACAACCAATCACAGAGTACACAATTAGCCATTCCCCTTTTCTTACCCAGAACCCTCTGCTCTGCCTGGGGAGATAATTGTGAAGTAATTCAATTATCTCCCAGGACAGAGCCTAAACGCCATTTTGAGTGACCATAACAAAAATAGATAAAAATACATAACTGTTACATTTTACAAAATATTACAGCCATTCAACAGGTCCCCAGATAGGATCTGAGCGCACCAAAGTACCGAATAGCGCTCAGATCCTATGCACACAGTCCAATCGCCGTGGAGCCAAAGGGTTTACACAGTCAGTTTTCATACAAATGGGCTCCACGGGATTCCTATCTGGGATGCGGTGTATTCCGTTGAAATCTACCGAATATAGGGTCATTCGTGCCAATCTACCGAATAAGAAGGGAGGTCGGCGGCTTCTGTGGTGTTTGTGCTAAAATGTGTCCGTTTTCAGTTCCATGTGTTAGGCGTCAAACACCGCTGTGTGTTCGCGTGTTTTAAAATGGCAGCGACCTCGTGTTCAGCATACGAATGGCAGCCACCCAACTACTGTATCAATCTAGAGGTGTTTGCGATTAACCTCAACGTTCTAATGGGGCCAAGAGGTTAATCAGCAGCACACTTCTCTACTGGGTGGCCGGCCGTTAGGTAGTTTTGTTCGGTCCTAAAAAAGGGAATGCCATAGAGTCCACAGGAATGAGGGAAATGAATTAAACAAACGAACGAGCCATACAGTAAGTTCACTTCAAGACAGAGGGATCTGTCACACCTGTTATATCTTTTTACTAAAGATGGTAATGTAAATATGGAAAAAAATTTTTTTAAAAGTATGCATTCACACAGTCATAGATCAGACTGTGTTCTAACTCTATTGAACACATATATAGTATATCCTTATCGAAATATAAGCATAGCAATAGCAATTTGTACATTTAAATAAATCTACAATTACCCTAAAATAGGATTACTTTACTAAATAAACATACTGGGAAAAAAGGAGTAAAATTTTCAACTCCTACCCCCCATATCCAACCACACACGTCATCAATAAGTATGATTACGCCCCTAAGACATGATTGGTCAATCACCATCAATGTCATCAAATTAAAGGGCGTATATATATATATCCTGCTCTAAGAGTCGGCACTGTTAGTCTAACAGAACTCTTACAAAGGCACATTCTAGCGCTGAAAAGCGTTGTGCTAGTGGATTTAAAAATTAGGACCACTCTGTAAGCTTCTATATAGCCCAGGGTTCTATTCCTACTAGATATGGGTTTGTTCAGCATCAGATAGACAGCCTGTGAGTCCCTTTTCTACCGTAGCGGTACAGCTAGTGATCTAACAGATATTGTAACTATATTTTTGCCTTACTCATCAAGCAGCCGACAAATAGTCTATTGAGCATTGATAAGCTTTAGCGATACCTCTAGTGATCTAGGAGTCATTGCAAAGATCCTCTTATGCCTAATATTAGACGCTCTATTTAAATTTTGGCATGCATTCTGTAGGTTAATATAGAAGTGATTGATCCTGCAATCAGTTTAGAAGTGCACTGCATCTAGTGCACCTTACATTGTAAGAAAATACTGAGGGATTTCCAATACTATATGAGATACAATCCCTCATGAGCTATTTAGTGTAAGAATCTATAATCTAATCACTTTCATTAAGGAACCCTATTGGGGGGATATCTACAAAATATTTATTTACTTTGTTATGCAAGTAATACAAAATATAGGTACGACTTATTGTTTCTTTGTCCTCAGGTACTTACTCCCTGTTCTGTCCAGCAAAGTGCTTCAATACCAGTAGTGTGTTTGAATACTAACTATCAGAAAATGATCAGAGATTGTTGAAATAGGGGAGTGAATTTTATATCTTTAACTTTATCCACCGTCAGTGTTCCCCAACTGTAGTTTATTACGTCTGGGGCCTGCTGTGGACTTCCCAAACACTCTCTGACATTTTATTAATTTATGTATCAAATACTTTGACAGACAATATTTTACATCACTTGGACATCATCAACAACAAAGTTACCTTCTCTACTCATTATATTTGTTGCATATTCCCCCATGGAAACTGTTTCTAGTTTTTACTTAGAGCAGTTCCATTAGTTGGCTACTTGGTAACAAGCAACCACTTGTACTCATTAGCTTCAGCTGTTGGTCCTATTATATCTTTATCTTTATATTTTTATATTAAATATTAATATTTTTTACTTTTTTGGTGTTTTGGTACACTTAGATGTGTTTACCCATTAAAGGGAATTAAAGCTTTTTTTTTGTTTTCTATTCTTAGAATTGTTATGCTTTATGTACATTAGGCATTGATTGTCGATCACTTTTATTGAGTCATTAATATTAGGGTAATAGGACTGGGATCAGGTATGCTCCTTTGCAGATCCTGTACCAGCCCTCTCTAATCATAGATCAGACTAGTTGTTTGTATTCTCCCTGGCTTTTAAGCACTCCTAAAAGTCAATTCTTACAATTAAATAGGAATTGCTCAAAACCAGAAGACATCCATTTAAAAAAATAAGTTTTTGGAAAAAAAACTATTCAGAAGAAAAACAAGACACCATTCTTGAGAGAGTTAAATTTAATGATACAGATAGTGTTTTAACAAACAAAGATAACAATAAGATTGCACCCTCTCTTGCACTTATATTTGATTTGAACAACAAAAAAAGATAAATCAAAATAATAATTAAAAAACATTGGCATGAAACCCTAAATAAGGTAATTCCTGACAATCCAAATATAATATTTAGATATTCTCTGAATTTTAAATCCCTTTTACAAGTAAAAAAATAACAAACCCTCTACTTTATCTAAGGTAAAGGGTTTTTTTAAATGTAGAAAATGCATTGTATGTAAAATGCTGCAGGGGTCAGTTTAAAACACCACCACCCATTTTACTTCTAATATAACCAATAAAATGCATAAGATAAATAATTTTATTATGTGTAAAACAAAAAATGTGAGTTATCTTTTGGAATGCCCATGTGGCCTCCAATCTGTAGATATGACATCTAAAACTTTGAAAACACAAGTAGCAGGGCATTGCCACAATTTAATAAAAGGATACAAAGCCATACTGTGTCAAAACACTTTATTGTATACAAAGATAACCCAGGGTGCCTTAAATCCACTGGCATACAGTCAGTGAAAAATATGATAGAAAGAAATGAGATCATTTAAAACCCTAACACAAAATGGTTTGAATGCAGACTTTAAACTTTTTAACTTTTTTTTTACTGTTTTGTTTAAAAAGTTAATTATGTTGTGCTATTTTAATGAATTTACACAATCTGTAATACATATATGTCACTACTCCTATAATAATTCAATTATGTTCCGCTCTCCCTCAGTATCTAAACAATATTTACATTCCATTGTACCTTTTAAACTGGTATTTACCAACATCATTTATTCTTAAGATATATTTTTATATTCATGATTTTCTTTTTCCTCTTTTCCCTTACTTTAAAATGTATTTTTATTAACCTTTTTGCACACTTGGCAGCTGACTCATTTCCCACGTGTTCGTTCACGCGAATGGCGGCCTCCCAGCAGACCACTTGAAATACTAGGTGCGAATAGATGATTGAGGTGTCAAGAGGGTCAATAGGGTTAACAAGCTCCAAGGTGGGCTAAGTACGGGGAGTATAATAGAGGAAAATTGGTACTTTCTTCGGTCACCGAACTAAATAGGGAAAACGTTTGGACAGAGTATTTTCAGTGACAGGGTGCTCTGTCACAAGTGTTACTTTACACTTCCTACCAATTTTATAACATAATCAGGGATTGCATCAAAGTCCATTTGAGAGAGCAGAGCTGGGCATTAATTACCCCAATCAGAAGGATTAATGCACTCATGTGGGTATGCCTCCTGAGAAATATAAATAGAGGCAATGACCGAGCCCGGCAGGGTGGACTGGGGGTGGGGGCAATGGCTGAGGAGACATATTAGCACCTACTGACTGTAAACTCTGACACCTGCAGAGAGGAACAAGGAAGGAGTCCCCGCCATAAGACACCTGGGACACTGAACATATAATTGTATTATTGCTTTCATTTTTTAACTTACAGATACAGCCAGCTATTTCACTGCCTTTACAGATAAAAAATCAAATTAACAGGTCCTTCCTCATTCTGTCTCCTTTTCTGATACAATTTCCAGTGCACATTAGATGATTCCATGTATTCCAGGAAGAATTGCATTAATCAGGTGGTTGTTTCAATATTTGATTCCCACATCCAGTAGTGTAATAGTTTGTTCTTTCATTGTTCATATTATCAGCCGATGAATGCCTGAAAATGTCCAAACTGTAGCTTGTCCACAGCAAAAGCATAAGTCTAATAATAATTACAGTAAATGTTTCCCTATGTAAATATTAGGGGTCAATGTTCTAGAAATATATACTTTTGTTTTGCAGATTTGTATTAGGTGATTTCTACTAAACATTTAGTTCTACACATCAAACTTTGGAAACACTTTAAATCAGTAGTTTCCTCCTTGAAATATTTATCCACACCTTGAATATGCTGTGCAATTTTGGGCGCCTGTTCTAAAGAAGGATATCATGGCACTGGAGAGGGTCCAGAGACGAGCTACAAAATTGATAAAAGGAATGGAGCATTTTAGTTATGAAGAAAGGTTAAAAAAATTAAATCTGTTTAGTTTGGAAAAACGGCGCCTGAGAGGGGATATGATAACTTTATACAAATATATTCGGGCCAGTACAAACCTTTATCTGGAAATCTATTCATAAACAGGGTTATACATAGGACACGAGGTCACACATTTAGGCTGGAAGAAAGGAGATTTCATCTAAGGCAAAGAAAAGGTTTTTTTACAGTAAGAACAATAAGGATATGGAATTCTCTGCCTGAAGAGGTGGTTTTGTCAGAGTCCATACAGATGTTTAAACTGAAATTGGATAAATACTTACAAAAACATAACATACAGGGATATAATTTCTAATTAGTGGGGTAATAGCTGCTTGATCCAAGGAGACATCTGACTGCTATTTTGGGGTCAAGAAGGAATTTTTTCCTAGTTTGTGGCAAAATTGGAAGTGCTTCAGACCAGGTTTTTTGCCTTCTTTTGGATCAAAAGCAACAACATTTCTGAGGAAGGCTGAACTTGATGGACGCAAGTCTCTTTTCAGCTATGTAACTATGTAACTATGTAACGTATGATAATTGATTAACATTTGAGGCATTTCTACAATGAGGGCTAATTCATTATTTTTCATCATGCATTTTTACTTATTAATGTTATTTGCATAGAAATGATTGTAAGTAAAACATTTATTGTATTTTTTAGTTTTTTATTATTTTAATATTTTGTTTATATTTAAAGTTATGTTAAATTTCTGTTTTTCAAAGTATACTCTTTTATTTTACTTTAACATTTTCAAATATAATTGAAAAGATGGAAACAATAAGAGAGAAAGAATAAAAAAAAAATTACACAAACAAATTAAAATAGTCTTACAGGGTTTTACCTAACAAGTTTTGTTTTGTATTCATCTCTGGTTTTATTAGCAAAATGTAACATTTGGGGAAAAATATACAGCCCAGTATCCCGGCACTAGAAGCCAATATGGCAAAAATCTCTACAGCCACCATGTATTTCCCTTTGGTGCTCAGATAGGCCGGGATCATTGCAATCCAAACACTGCAGAACACCAGCATGCTGAAGGTGATGTATTTGGCTTCATTAAAACTGTCCGGTAATGTCCTCACCATGAAAGCCAGAACAAAACTCATGGAGGCCAGAATTCCCATGTAGCCCAACACACAATAGAAAGCAATAACTGATCCTTCATTACATTGAATGATGATCTTCCCAGGGTAAGAGTGCATGTCAAACTCCTGGAAAGGAGGAGAAATAGACAACCAAATAACATTAATCAGAACTTGGACTGAGGTGCATATCAAGACTACAAAATTAGACACATTGACACCCACCCACCTCCTCCATAAGCTGCCTGGTTTGGTGGCTTTGAAAGCGATACAAACGATAATAGTCTTAGCCAGTATACAAGACACGGCTACAGAGAAAATTAGTCCAAATGTCGATTGTCGAAGCATGCAGGTTATATCCACAGGACGACCGAGGAAGAGAAACACACAGAGGAAGCTCAGTATGATGGAGACCAGGAGGATAAAAGTGAGATTCCAGTTATTTGCTCTAACAATGGGTGTATTTCTGAATAAAATAAATATTCCCAATATAGCAAATGTTAAAATAGCAAATACTATAGAAACGGAATATGAAACAGAAACGATAATATCCTCTTCATATGATAGGAAGTCGTAAGTTTTAGGTATACACTTTACTTTACTTTCATCGGGCCATTCGTTATCAGGACATCTCTGGCAGTTATCACTGTCTGTAATAAAATAGAGTATGATGTAAATAGCAATTAAAGAAGTAACTGCAGGCAGTAACAATGCTATATGCAGTTTTCATGTACCTTCTATCTCATCTGGTTGCTATAAAGGCTATTAAAAACACTGATTAAAATATAATTTGAATAGATTAATAAACAACAAATGTTACAAAACACTGTTTTATTAATTAAGTATTTTTGATTAGAATTATATTTTGCTACCTGTTACATTGGACATTTCTCCCTCGGAACACGGGACACATTGATAACAGCAGATGTGATAACCTTCACCAGAGGCTTTTCTGTACCCTGGAGGACACCGGTCAGTACACCGTGACTGTGTGATCTAGAACAAAAAATAGCACTTTATTTCATTAATAAACCAAAAGCCAGACAGAACACAATTAATTCTGGAAGTTGTTAACTGATATTCAAATTCACTACTGACAATTTAAACATATTTTCAAGAAAAATGAAAGATGATGGCAAAGGAACAAGCTTTGGATACACATTTTCAAAAAGACAAAAGAGTGTGGTGGCCAGATTCATAAAACAGCACTGGGTTAGGGAGGTAATAGGAGGATTTAAAATAGAACAGAAGCCAGGGGCTTCGGTTCCTGGCCGCTACCATTTTTAATCCTTGACTCAAGGGCAGTGAGTGAGAGGTTAAAGGAACACTCCAAACACGTAAAGCACTTTAAATATGTGTGCTTTATGGGTGTGAAGAGTGTGTCCTTTAATTTTATTTTACAAGACGTGCAGAATTCAATTATAAATTTAGGGACTTCTAAAGACATTTCACTGAAGTGATCTGTGTGCAGTGGCATTATAGTTTTAACCTTGCAATGTAAAACATTGTAATTTTGTAGTTTTGCAGCTTTGCACTATGTCCATTGAGGTGTTAAACATATCTGTAGAGTTTGTCTTCCAGCCACTAGAGGTACTTCCACCGGAACAACCATGTGACCAGTGCAGCTCACAGGAAAGCATTGTATTCATGTTTTACAATGAGAAGCATTTGGATGCACACATGGCTCTTGCCTCACTTGTGCATCAATTTCCAATATTCTTCTAAGAGGATCATTGGATTGGCCATCACAGATAGATCTGATTGAAGTCTCATGAAGAGGATAAGTAAGTAAACACCTTTCTTTCCAGGTTTTTAGAGAACACTGGGGGGATCTAAAACTAATCAAGCACTAGGATAGTGTTATGAATACATGTTTGTATTTCTAACGCTATAGTGTTCATTAACTTTGTCCCCCCTACCCCTGCTACTTTATGGTTGTTAATCTCAGAGGAGCTAAACTCAAAAGGCAGTAATTGCTTAGAGCAACTGCCTTGTAATGACTTCTCACTAAGCTGCATTGCAAAGTCTGTGATTGGACAGGCACAGAAAGTCTGGGACGGGATTAGAAGGCAAGCTGCTTTTATATATACACCTGTTGAAAAAAATGCATAATTAAATGCATGTATGTTTTTATTGGGGGTATATCTACTAAATAGCTTCTTATTATTTATCTGTTTTGAATTTGGACAGTGGACAGTTTGTCAGACATATCATGATAGAAAATATTAATATTATTGTATTACACACAATTGTATTGCAGGTCACAATTAAGAAAAACAGCATTGCAAACATTTCTGTAGCAGTTTGAAACCAAATAGCGGATAATGTTTTTTTTTTTTTACATTAAAAAAGCAAGTTCTTCATGGACACCCAAATGCATTATTAGACTATGCTCTAAATTCATATACAACTTAAACCACTTTAACTAAGACCGTAAACAAATAGATTTTGTTGATTCTGCAGAATATGGACATATTGTTCGTCAGTCAAACCAACTACCGAACGGGAGACCACCCAGTGGAGTCGTGTGTCTCCAATTGAGGATTGTAACACAATGGTCGGATGGGTGGCCGGCATTCGTATGAAAGAACATGTGGCGGTGGCCATCTTTGCATGTACAACCAGCTGTGTTTGGTCGTCGAGTGCGTGGAATTAAAATCAGACACTCGGCCTCGCGAACACCGCTGGACTTCCACTGGCAAATCTTTGCATAAAAGCAGATTAATCATTGACCTCTCAGCACCACATTCCTCCATGGTTTCTAGTCTTAACTCCCTCATACCCTCAGAAGATGTTATGCTACTTGGGTTATTTGGATTGGAACTCAACTGCAGCTTGTAGAACTCCTTAATTACAATAGTGAAGAAACGAAGAATCTTTAAAGTATCAATACTGTAGCTTTAAGAAAAGAGAGGATTGCTGGCAATTTGAGAATCAAACAAAGTTTTAATGATCGATAAACTTAAATGAATTTCATATAGGCAATAATCCAATAAGAAGAAAGTGCGAGTTATCAAACAATACAAAGTTCATTAAAAAGTATTTCCTCAGAGAAGTATTAAATAAGTTTCTTTAGGTTGCTGGGAATAATCTTCAATAGAAACATTAAGCAGGTAGCAGAGAGTATTTGCAAAGCAAGAAACAGTTCATAGTAAATAAGCATGATGGGAGTTGTCCTCCATATAATTAGTAACTTGAAGCAGAGAAGATTTGAGCAAGAAGGAATTGGTTCATTAATAAATGATATTGCAGACAATAGTTGAAAGATATACTTAAGGTTAAGGTGAGTTGTCCTCCAAGAGTTCAGAGTTATAGTCCATTGTAAATTAGCAAAGTATTCGTTCTCCAGTAATCCTCTATGGCATGCAGCATAATCCTTGCATTGGCTAGGACGGCTTGTCAGAGCTTGTGGAGCCGGCGTGTATACCTGGAAGTAGGTCCCACAATCACCAAGTGCCTTCTCCCTGGCGCGGTCTCTCTAAATACTGTCAGAGCTGCGTCAGAAGTGGGCGGGGCCGGCTCCGAATAGCGGAAGTGCCGAACCCAGAAGAGATACCGCATGACAGAAGAGTTCTCATTACAATACTCCACCATTGACAATGTCATCTGGGCCACTCTCGCGGCTAGGGCTGGGGCATGGCTCAGCAAAACTGATATTGTCAATGCATTCAAATGACTTCCTATCCACCCCTCACTATGGCATTTGCATGGCATTAAGTGGCATGGTCTATATATTGTTTTCACCAGACTCTCGTTTGGTTCTAAGAGTAGCCCCAAAATATTTGATTTTTTTGGCGGAAAACCTATGCTGGTTGCTACATAATGTGTGCAGATGCCTGACGGTCATACATTTCTTAGATGTTTCCTCGCAATAAAGAGATAACTCTCATCCCCCTCACAATCTTACAGCTGCAATCGGTCATTTTGAAACCCTGGGGATACCCACAAAAGACTGAGGGTTCTGACACAGTAATTAGTTTTGGGGGATTCAACTTGACTCGGTTAATATACTATCCTGTTTTCGTCATGATAAATTTAAGAGAACTTTGTCAAGTATCAACCTTTACCTAAGATTGGGTTACTGCAACCAGAAGGAACTGCAGTCTCTGCTTGGCTTGCTCAATTTTGCCATGAGGATCATTCCACAAGTCAGATCTTTTATTTCCCTTCTACACTGTTTGCTCCTTCACCTTCCCTCGGACTGCTCACGCATCGCTTTGGACCCTCACGCAACTGCAGACTGACGCATGTGGTACAATTTCTTGCTACATTGGAATGGGAAATCAATGTTTATCCCACCAATCTCTGACAGTTCCCCGATAATCTGGACAGATACTGCGGCCAATACAGGATTCACAGTCACCTGTGGCAATACCTGGCTCTGGGGTCCTTGGCTGGTTGAAGTTGGGTCACTGCCTGGTTTTTCTAAGAGAGATGCTTCTCAGATAACATAACATTGTCAGCAAAGTTCGCTAATCTTCTTTGATTATCATGAGGTTTTCTAGGAAACTCAACAGTTTTTTTTCTCATGTATTCGCATCCTTTGGGTCTCTAACGTATCCGCTGATCACTTGTCTTGTTTCCGCTTGCAGGCATTTCACGAGGCTCTACCCACTGCCTGTCATCTAGCTACTCCTGTCCCCCAATTTCGAAACCTTTTGATGGATTAAATGTATTGTTGTCACACGCATGGAACCTGACCCACTTGGCACTCGTGGATATCACTAGAAAATCCTACGACAGGGCTTTTCACCTCTTCACTAAATTCACTGCTGATTTTAATATACACCACAAATTTGCAATGGTGTCTTTATTGGGTTTCACTTCTTTTTGCCACATTAAACTAAAACTGTCCTAGAACACCATCAAACTCTACCTAACAGGCATTTGCACCGCAATCCCACATTAATAAACTCAATACATTGTATAACTCGTTCTGCTGATTTGTGCTACAATGTAATTACAGGACCCACCATTGTGACATGCTAAAAGAATTAAACTGGCTGTCGCTGGAATCCAAATGCACCCTTCATCTTTCCAGCCTTGTGTTAAAGAGCTTTTCTGGGAAACTCCCACCCTACCTGAGCAAAATGCTCTCCTCGGCTGTTCCCACCTCCTACAAGCTCCAATCTAGTACCAGCACTTTATTTAGTCTACCTCAATACAAAAAGAAAGTGGGCTGATCCTCCTTCTCCTAAAGAGTGCCGCAATTGTGGAACGACCTCCGGCACACTTTAAAATCTTCTCCAAGCCTAAAGTTCTTTAAGAGACCCCTCTTTACATACATCAAAACAGAATGCATGTGTCATGGTTGATTATATATTTCCTACCTGTTCTATGTTAAATTTTGTATTTATTGTGTATTAATATTTGTGACGAAGTACCCTTCGCCACTTGGTCCTGGAGAGGCCTACTTGCCAGCCTCCTCCCCTGTAACTATGACTCTTTCATGTATCTGGCTTTAAAGCCCCTAGTCTACCTTCAGACAGACTATTTATGTAGGCTGCTTTATTTATCTTATGTTTTAGTCACCCTGTACCCATTATAGGTGCAGGGTGTGTGTAATGTAATTGTTTATAGTGTGTGTGTGTGTACTGTGTAATGTATTGCCTGCTCTCTTGTATTGCTGAGGTTTGCTAACCAACTAGGTGGGTTTGGCTATGGAGCTTGTCTAGTGCCCTCTGTTGGTAGCAACAGCAATATGCACTACCTGAATTGCAAGACTGGTTCATTTGCATATTTGGGTAGATTTGCATATTGCTAATTCTGCAGGCAGGTGAGATATTTACTGTTAAATATTGTCTCCCCCCACCCCTTTAAAAATGTGCCATTGTGTTGTGATAAGTCACTGTGTGTTGCTTGATATGGTTTGACTGTTTGTGATTTTATTGAGGTTTCACAACAATGTTATTGTGGTGACCCTATTGGCTGGTCCCAAGGGAAATAAAGGTTTTGACAGTTCTCCTCTGAGCTTGAGTCACTTAGCTCTTTTAAGAGCTTAAGAGCTTGTTCCTGACACTCTCTCCTTGGAGGAGGGGTCTTCACCACACAGTCCTGGATGCTGGAGGTTCATACAAGGTGGAAGGAAGAGTTCTTTCCCACACAGTCCTGGAGGACAGAAGCTGATCCAGGGTGGAAGGAAGACGGCGAGACTCCAGTCAAGATACGGCGGTTGCGGAGTCTGCGCTGGTTGTGGTGTCTGTTGCAGTGCTAGGAGTCCTCAGGAAGCGCTAGGAGCATCCGTCAACGGAGGGTACTCAGTCGGAGTACAAGGAGCTCCGTTACAATATTGTTTTTTTTATTTTATTGTAGCGTATTGTAACAATGCAATGTTTTGTGGACCCAGGACATATTTGAAAACAAGAGAAATCTCAATGTATCTTTCCTGGTAAAATATTTTAAAAATATTAACATGTTATATTATAACATGTTAATACTACACCCAAACAGCACAGGATTCATATCCTCTTACCAAATCAAAACCTTGCTGAAATGGATACAGAAATCTGAAAAAAAAAATATTACCCCCTAAGAGACTACCTATCCGTGCTAAACTATTGCAATCCCTATCCAATATTTTAGATGCTTCTCCTTTTGAAGCACATACCAATATAGTAATCAAAAAAGCCATATACTTAGCCTTGTCTGGCTTTTATGGCTTTCTAAGACCAAGGGAATTAACAGCTACCAATCTAATGGCCATGGATTTCCTTACAACTAGGAATATCACTAAAACCCAGGATCACTACATCCTGTCACTCAACCGTCCTGTCACTCAACCGTCAGATGGGACCTCCGGTCAATATACCATTCTACCCTACTGACTGACGAACAATATGTCCATGGTGCCCAGTTCTGGTTTTAGACACATGCTTCAGCACTTTTTTAAAAATTACCTCACCAACCACTTCTTCAGCTACAGGGTTCCACACTCACTGCATCTAAATTCATGCTGTACATTTGCATGCTACTAACCAGCGTTGGCCTTAATTCAAATCACTATTCCGGCCACTCTTTTCATATAGAGGCAGCCTCATCTGTCTCATCCAATAACTCTCCAGCACTTATCATTAAGGCCATGGGATGCTGGAAATCATCCACGTACACCCTATATATCCAGGAATCAGTTAATGAGATGTATTGTAGAACTAATAAAACCTTGTATGGTACACTTCCTTTTGCCCTCTTTTTTACAGGCCTACTGCATTGTCAGTTCCGGCACACCACAACCGACTGGTGCTTGTAAACTATGTTATTATTATTACTATTCATATGTTACTACTAAGTATATGTTATCTAACCATTATGGCAATATTGCCCTGACCCCAAATTTAAGTCAGGACCTGTAGTTGTGGGAGGGGTTTGGGGTCCCCTTTATAAGGCCCTCCAATCCCCTCTCACATACCGTGATTGGTCTGGCGAGTTAACCCTCCCACCACTGCCTCTTTCACCCTCTATAGGTGGGCCCTCTTTTTTATAGGCCTACTGCATTGTCTGTTCCGGCACACCGCAACCTACTGCTGTTTGTAAACTATGTTATTATTACTATTCATATGTTACTACTAATTATATGTTATCTAACTATTATGGCAATATTGCCCCGACCACAAATATACAATATATATATTTTTTTTTTCTATCTAATAAATATTGTCCATGCATGCAGTTATAGGGCACACTTTTATCACACATACATATTTAGATATATTAAGAAGTGTTGATACCTAATTAAGAAGATATTTTCAAAATCTTTTGAATTAATTATACGTCTATGTTTTTAGTCAATCTGTGGTTATAAACCTTGGAACTAAGACATGGTTAACACAGTAAAGGAGTTTAAGCATGCGTGGGATAGGCATAAGTCTATCCTAACTATAAGATAAGGCCAAGGACTAATGAATGTATTTAGAAAATTGAGCAGACTAGATGGGCTGAATGGTTCTTATCTGCCGTCACATTCTATTTTTCTATGTTTCTGTGTTTCTATGTTTCTATATGCACAGACAAACTACATTTCATTATTTGCCATATAGTCAGGAATAAGGCACATAGGAATTACTTACCTATATTCCAATAAACTAATTTAAATACCTATGTACACATGTCAGCATAATTATTATGAACAATTCCAGGAAATAGGACTATATTAAAATCATTCATAACAGAAGAGCCACACTTGTTGGTGAAGCTTTGGTAAAAGTTAAATAATCAGTGACATATTTCTAATTATCATATGCTAAACCCACCAAATCTGACTGAAGAATGTTAAATCCATAGTTGTAGGTTACCCGAGATAAGGAAACCAATATTATGGTATAGAGAATAGCGGGAAAGGATGACTCTTGACTATAGTCTATTGAATCACACTCTCCTGATTGATCACAGTCTCTTGATCAATCACTCTATTCAATCACTCACTCCTAAACTATCTCTTTCTCTTAAATCCTCATTCTCTAATATTGCATTTATTTCACCTATTAAACATAATTATTAATACTCAATATTCTCTTAAAAATCTAAGATATCTAGTCATTTCCATTTAACGTTTATATCAAAACTGAATTCCTTATCCATTGAGAAGTGAAAGAAAGCCAGCAACTTTGTGGCAATTAGGATTCATATAATGTTTATACCTTGTATTGTATGAGTCAACATTTGGAATATTTTATCCTTTTGGGGAAATAGTTCCTGTGTATTTAAAATCTGTGTCTGCAGCTCAGATTAAAAGTATGTAATACTTCTTAGGGTAATAATGCTGAAATGATTGATACATTTGTTTGTTGAATTCAGATATTAATCAAAACCTATTATTAAATACATAGTGCAGATACAGAGGTTATTTAAAATTTACCAAGTATTTATATTGAAAACTTTTTAATATTATTTTATTGTTTTGTTCTAAAAAAATATTATTTTATACTAATATAGTAAGATATTGTAAATTTTTCAAAAGAAAAAAAAGGGGGAGGTTACAGTGTTGAACTAGTCAGCACTGATATCCCCAAATATGGTTACGGAGGTACTCAAGAGGTTAAACCCTAAATCCAAATTGAAAAGAAATTAAATGGAGTAAGCGAAACACCTTACCAACAGGTGGGCGGTCCACGCTCCATTAAAGAGAACCTCCAATGGGTTAAAATCTCAAAACAGAGTGATCCTAGCCTTTATTAATAAATTGAGCTGAGTAAAAGTAAGAAACAAAAAGAATAAAGGTGAAAAACCTAAAAAATGTGAACAAATTAAATCAACCGTAGTGATAAAGATTTAAAATACTGGGGAGGTAGATCTCTAGTGTTATACTCATACAAACGAGGGACCTATGTATAAGGAGTATAAATACTAAATTTGATCAGTAATCAAGTAGGTACCTCTAGGGTTAATGAGTAGAAAAACTAATCTGGAAATTAGGGAGACTGTAAATGGTAACAGTTTAGACAGAGTTATTCACTTTGTATTAAATATAGAGAGTCACACTTAGTATCAGTGTAGACCAAAAAAATACATATGATACAAACAAATATGTATTATATGCGCTGTTAGATATAGATGGTATCCCTATCCAGACTTGTACTCCAGCAGTGGGGAAAAAAAAAAGTTGGCTATTGATCGTTACCAATATATAGTGAGTGGTACAGGGGTGAGCGGATGGATAGATAGCCACAAACGGCAATCAGGAGACTCATATATCCCAACCCCCTCTGAAAAAGCTCAAATGGTATAAACCTCCTGCCTCAAAAAAGAATGGCTAGAAGAGGTTTAGCGAACTCTCCACACTGGAAAAAAGTATGCAAAGAGAGATACACACCCGCTGCTTTGTGGCAGCCTAGTTACCCAGAGCCAGCTATATCTCAAGTATCGACTTATAAGAAAAGACGGCTAGTATAGGCTAAATAAGCGCTCAACGCTGAAAATCAGTCTGTTAAGTTTATTAAGGGACTAACATCTGCTGCTTCGTGGCAGCCTAGCTAACCAAAGTCAACTGTGTCTCAGCCAGTGACTATCTAAATCATACACCCAGATATAGACCACCGCCCCCCCCCCCAGCAACACACAAAGTAAAATCAAAGAAGGTGCCTCGGCAAACTAAACTGGCCCGACACGTGTTTTGGCGTAAGCAGTTCCGCGCAGAGTTTCTGTTTCCTGTCACCGGCCGGACTGACAGGAAGTGCACACTCAGTGTGCCCCTTCCTATCAGTCCGGCCGGGCACCGCGGACCGGAGTGCAGCTCGGCCACGCTACAGGGGAGGGGGTAAGAAGAGGGGAAGGGGGGAATAAGATGCGGGGAGGGGGGGAATAAGAAGAGGGGAGGGTGGAACAAAAAGAGGGGAGGAACAAGATGAGGAGGGGGGAATAAGAAGAGGAGGGAGGGATAAGAAGAGGGAGGGGGGGGAATAAGATGAGGAGGGGGGAATAAGAAGAGGGAGGATAAGAAGAGGGGAGGGGGAATAAAAAGAGGGGAGGGGACAAGAAGAGGGGTGGGAATAAGATGAGGAGTGGGGGAATAAGAAGAGGAGGGGGAATAAGAAGAGGAGAGGGATAAGAAGAGGGAGTGGGGGAGAATAAGATGAGGGAGGGGGGGGAATAAGAAGAGGGGAGGGATAAGAAGAGGGAGGGGGGAGAACAAAAGAGGGGAGGGAGGGAATAAGAAGAGGGGAATAAGATGAGGGGAGGAATAAAAAGAGGGAGGGAGGGGAATAAGAAGAGGGGGGAATAAGATGAGGGGAGTGGGGGGAACAAGAAGAGGAGGAGGGGGAATAAGAAGAGGGGGGGGGAAATAAGATGAGGGGGAACAGAAGAGGGGAGGAGGGATAAGAAGAGGGAGAGGGAATAAGAAGAGTGGAGGGTGGGGAAATAAGAAGAGGAGGGGGGGAATAAGAAGAGGGGAGGGAGGGATAAGAAGAGGAGGGAGGGACAAAAGAGGGGGGAGGGGGGGAATAAGATGAGGGAGGAGGGGAATAAGAAGAGGGGAGGGGGGGAATAAGAGAGGGGGGGAATAAAAAGAGGGGGGGAATAAGAAGAGGCGAGGGGGGGAATAAGAAGAAGGGGCAGCTCTATAGGACAGGGGCCAAGACAGGGAGCTCTTTCACACTACGCGCGCGCACACACACACACACACAATGCATCCCTATACATACACAGAAACACAACATGCTTCCCTTACACACAGAGAAACACACAGTGCATCCATTACACACACACACACACACAATGCAACCCTTACACACAAAGACAATGCATCCTTTGCACACATACACAGAAACAGACAATGCAAACCCGTACACACGCATGCAAACACACACACTTCTTTTCTTACATACACACAGAAACACAATGCATCTCATGCACACACATACAGACACACACCTTGCATCCCTTATGCATACAAACACAGATCCACACAATGCATCCCTTACACACAACCAGAAACACATAATACATCCCTTATACACAAATACACACTGCTTCCACTACACACAAACACACCGCATCACCTGCACAAACTGGTAACCCTAAACACTACATACCATAAGCACACATATTAGATCCTCTACAATAACACATAACACATCCCCTACACACTCCACTCCCTGTGAGCGAACTCATGGGTGGGTGGAACTTATGAGTGGGCCTTATGGGCATACTCACCGCCAGGCCCTGGGGCCCAGACCTTGAGCTGTGTAAGGGGCCCCAAAAAAATTGAGCTGCTTCCAATTCTCCCAGAACATTGAATTTTGTGACCACAGTTGCAAACAGCCTCCAGAGATCCTGTTCTACACCAGACCAGTGGAGCCAAACTGCAGCCCATCATCATCCTCATCTGCTTGTAAGTAGACAATCTAGTATATTATTAGTGACACTAATCTATATTTTACCTCACATTAAAGGGACACTATAGCTTAATGAAGTGGTTCTGGTGTCTATAGCTGGTCCCTGCAGGTTTTTTAATGTAAACACACACTGTGTGCAGCACTGGCGTTAGTTCATATGGCAGATCATATGGGTGGGGCATTGTGATGTGACATGTGGGGGCAGCAAATTTTATTTTGTCTAGGGCGGCAAAAATCCTTGCACCGGCTCTGATCCTGGGCAGGTGCACCAGTCTACTTGACTGGTTTTGCCCCCCAGGCCTAAGGCTGCCAGCCCTCCCCTGGCCGCTGGGGAGGTCTTTTGGCGGCCGCTGGCGGACTTGTCCTGGCGGCCGCTGAGGGAGCTGCGCAAGCTGCGCTGGCTCTGCTCCCCAGCACGCAGCTGAATGAGACCGGTGCCGGAATATGACGTCATATTCCGGCGCCAGTCTCATTCAGCAGCGAGGGCGGGAGGGCACTAACACAGGAAGCACCTCTAGTGACCATCTGAGTGACTGTCACTAGCAGTGTCACTTTGAAGCAATGTAAACACTGCCTTTTGTCTGAAAAGTCAGTGTTTACGTTGAAAAGCCTGTAGGGACATGCTATAGACACCAGTACCACCACATTAAGCTGTGTGTGCGCGTCTGCTAGTGAGTGAGCTTGCTTGCATGCGTGTGCCTGCTAGTGAGTGAGCTTGTGGTTTTATGTCAATGAGCTGATGTATATCAGTAAGATTGTTTGTCTATGAGGCTGTGTATCAATGAGCTTGTGTGTGTCACTGAAATGTCAGTGAAATTGCCTGTGTCTGCATGTGCGTATGCTTACTGTATAATTAAACGTTTTATCCTGAAAGGACCAATATTTTATATTAGAAAAAGCAATATATATATATATATATATATATATGTATATATATATATATTACTCAATCATCTGTCCTGGCAAGACATAGCCTTACATATTACACGCGACAATATATGGCGCAGTGACTTATGGGGCTGGCACAATTTTTTTTTCCAGGGCTGCTTTGTATCCCCAGTCCGGCCCTGCTCAGGAACCCAGGTAGTCTTAGGTAAACAGACCAATAGTCATCTGATCTAAACTGATCATAAGTTATGTCCACTGTATATTGCTAGTGTCACTCCAATGTGTGTCAAGATCTATACTGACTTAACTATTAAGACGTAATGATATAGTTTCTATTAGTGTGTCGGTACCGAGGATTCACACAAATAGGGGAGGGGCTAAAAATAAATGTACCCCACAAATCCCTTCAGAATATGTAATGAAAATCATGTTACATAATCCACACGAATGCTGCCAGAAGAACATGATCCGAGCGTATTGATAGATATGGGAATAAGTGGTCAGTGACTCCAGTAAGTGACTGTAAATAAGGTTCATCCGTAGAGAGAGAATATCAATCATGCTATTCCATAGACAACTGCTTTCCACATAGTAATTATGTATTAGGGGTATCTGAAGCAAGTATAAGAAAGCCAAATGATGATAATGATAATAATATCAATGATGATAATAATTAAATACACACATCACAATGTTACTGCCAGGTAAAGGTTAGGCTTGCCACGTTAATAAGAGAAAAACGTTCAGAAAACAGTTTCTTCACAAAGATGCTGGTTTGTATCCAATCTAAACTATACAGTATATACATAACAACACACAATAAACATGAAGAAAATTAAATAAAAGGAAATGGTACTATTGTTTATTTTTAGCACTATGTGTTTAAAGCATTGGCATTTTGTCCAAACTGCCACTTGTCTTACAAAGACATTGGGACTTCTGTGATTGGACAGCCACAGAAAGTCTAGGCTGGGGAACGGAGGAAGCCAGTGATATTTAAATAGGCTTAATTAAATGTGTGCATGTTTTCATTGGGGGTATGTCTACTAAATTATCATTTGCATGGATATATTTATTGGTATCTGAGCAGTGGAGTGGAGTGTGTTTTTTTAAGAGATATCTGGATACAATGCGTTTTGTTCTGATAGGTGGATGTATACTTTTCTTGCTTTCATTCTTTTTTTCAGATTGTCTTGAGGCTTGACAAGAACAAGACTTTTTTTTCACTGTCTATTTTTCTATTATCCTGGCACCTGAGCCCTGTCATTTTGCAATGATCTATGAAAGGCATTTATAATAAAAAAAAATACTTGTATAAATGTGAGAATACGTGAAGAGCCTGAATTACAATAAATAGGTTGGAACCTAGTCAAGAAAAATAAGAAAACAATTAACTGGAAGAGGTACTTTAAATGGCTTATGAACAAGGGCACAACAGTCCGGGATGTACAAGGTATTTTCTCCATGTGTTTTGATTCTTTACTGCAAGCATGATTCTATTTTTTTTTACTATGCAACAATTTACCCATTGAAATTTAGTTTTTGGTGACTAAAAATAAACAAATCCACCAATACCAATAAACTGTGTGAAAATGTAGTGATCCACACTTAAAACAAACAAACAAAAAAAGTAAATAATACTCATCTATACTCATCTATATGGAATGCTTCCACAAAGGACACTGCTGAAAATGCGTTGGTCAGTATAAATAAATGAACTATTCCTTTTAATAGCTCCTGACTGATTCCTCTTCTGCAACTGTCACTAGTCTAATACTATCCTTTTTGTGTCATTTTACCCCACTCCCTCTAGCATGTAAACTCACTGAGCAGGGCCCTCAATCCCTCTGTTACTGTCACTATACCCCACTCCCTCTAACATGTAAACTCACTGAGCAGGACCCTCAATCCCTCTGTTACTGTGTCACTATACCCCACTCCCTCTATCATGTAAGCTCACTGAGCAGGCCCCCAATCCCTCTGTTACTGTGTCACTATACCCCACTCCCTCTAACATGTAAACTCACTGAGCAGGACCCTCAATCCCTCTGTTACTGTGTCACTATACCCCACTCCCTCTAACATGTAAACTCACTGAGCAGGACCCTCAATCCCTCTGTTACTGTGTCACTATACCCCACTCCCTCTAACATGTAAACTCACTGAGCAGGGCCCTCAATCCCTCTGTTACTGTGTCACTATACCCCACTCCCTCTAACATGTAAACTCACTGAGCAGGGCCCTCAACCCCTCTGTTCCTGTGTGTCCAACTTGTCTGGTTACAACTACATGTCTGTTCGTCCACCCATTGTAAAGCGCTGCGGAATTTGACGGTGCTCTATAAATATCATAATAATAATAATAATAATAATAATAATAATAATAATATTGGCGACCTACACTATTGCAATGTTTCTACTCCACATAAACTTTCCCCCTCCAGACTATTCAGATTCTTTGAAGGAACCATACATTTCATTCAAGGTTTGTATTTACTCTGCGTTTGTGAGTGTTATATTTTATTATGCATATATAGTGGTGCTAGGGGTTACTACTCTATTGTTTGTGTATTTGTTTCTCCAGGACTTGCTATATCCCCATTCTTTGTTCTATATATACTCTACACAAGATACATGGAACCATAGTGACTTAAAGGAACACTCTAAGGTTACAAATACAAACATGTATTTCTAACATTAGAGTTTCTCCTTACCTATTTAAATTATTGCCCCTTTATAATAATAAAACACCAAAAAAAAATATAGGAATATATAATTTTATTCACCTTTATTCCTGCTTCATCCTATCTGAGATCATCAGTTAAGATGATCTCAATAAATACAGTACTTCCCCATATGAATGTTATGGGGGCAACTGCCCATGTGTGGTCATCATAGCGCTGCTCCAATCAGTAACTCCACACAGAGATGCATCAGCATGAATGAATCTACAACCTTACAATGCTGGAACGAGGTTGCAATTTAGAGATAATCTTATTGAAAACAGGTTAGTTGGAAAACCAGATGAGGTGTTCCGGTGGAGAAAGAGGTGATGGAAAGAAAGCAAGAAGCATGAAAATAGCACATAGATATCTCATAGTCATGTAGATGCATGTGGTAGACAGCACAATAAATGCTATGACTATTTCAGTTTATGCTTATTTCGATTGTGACTTTGGTGTTTGGATGGCTGACCATGATATGGATGCCCTACCGAAGACAATCATTAATTGTATGTGTTATTTTGTTTGTTTGATGAAACCTTTATATTATTAATTGATCCAATTTTTCATTTAATTATCCTCCAGTTTTTCTCTTTGTAATTTGGGGAGAAAATAGATCGGAATATCCAAAACCTGGCCATGATTATAAATATTGTAATATTATTTTATATTAATATAGTGCAAGATTTAAAAATATAACCTACTTGGTCATTGTTCCAAGTTATTGACTGCAGATGTATATCGAGCTGTTGATTATCAGGAGAAGATGTATTTAGGATTCCAACAGATTGGGCTTCCATTGCCAACTTATTGTCATATATTTCAGCCTTCCAATTCACAAGGCTAAGATGATCTGAAAATTCTCCTTTGGTATTAAAAAAAATCTCTTTTGCAAGTTTGTTTACATAATGGACTCTTCGTACATAATTATAAAGCTTTTAGAAACAAAACGGGAAAATCATGAATTTTTTTATATTCTATTAGATCTTGCTTACAGACAGTATCACAATTTATCATAAAGTAATTAATTTAGGATCATGTCTTCTAATCTAAAACTCACACAATGAGGTGCATTACAATTCAGCATTTATAAAGCACCAATGATGTTTTTGTCTTTTGGCTGATCAGAATACAAAATTCATGGACCTATTTTACAGCCAGTAATGCTGCCAGTAAACATCTATGGAAAACTGGTTCTAGCTAATAATTACCTCATTAAAGCTAAACAAATCTATAGATTGATATAGTCCAACAATATACCATCAAACGTATCTTGATATCCAAGCAGGACACTATATGACCGGCATCAACATGGAAAGAAGTGTGAAAGTCTGTAGCCAAAGTGAATCAATGAGCAAGAAAGAAAATGACTGGAGGGGGTCAAGTATGAAGAAAAGACAGTGAAGTGGCAGTGGTGTCGGGAGTGTGGCGAGTGAGAGGGGGATCATGAGTTTGACATGATACACACTTTGAAAGCTTGAAATATATATTTTTTCTTCTCGTGGTGCACTTGTCATGTATGGTTTGGGTAGGTAACCTGAAAGAGGATTGATGTGAAAAAATGAATTGCCTAAATGATAACCAGCATGGGTCGATAAAAACAGCCACCGCAAATCAGCTTGTGTCAACGTCTACAGGAAGTAATTGTGTTGACTTTAGAATGACTGATACATTACATACATGATTTTTTTTATTTATTTTTATGTTACCTACCTAGAAGCCTTCACAATCCAAAGTATTCAGAAAGTGGCATAACGAATATAAAACTGTCCTTTATTGTGAGTTTCTATCTGTTACGTGCACATGTATATTTGAACAATAAAATCGAGTCTAATAAATCCTTGGTTTCTTTCCATTAACTAAATTTGAAAATAACTCCACAGTTATATTTTGGAAAATGATTGGTTGATCTCAGCATTATTGAAAAATAAGATGGTGATTTATTGAGTGGCTATACCTGGGGGCCAAGACTTCAATGATTTTGGACCATGCACTGAAATCAGCAGAATAATTTGAGGATGGGTTTGTATGCATAATTTATCTTGTCATATTTAAACATAGGTATCATTATCAATAAAATAAGTGGAAAAAGTGTATTCTGCAGCAAAGAGTGCTTTCCCAACACTGAATAACACTGCCGCTTTGTGCTATAAAAAGAACACATTCGTTAAATTATTCAAAATTGTTATATTATTCTGGGATTCTATTATTTCCCATAATGCACCCATTTTTTTTCTTAATACATTTCTCTGTTTCTTCTTTGGAATTTATCAAAACTGAATAACAACCTTAAATGGACACAGGTGACAGAAATAAAGTATTATGGCTATTTTGCCTTCACACAGCAAACCCACACCAATGAGTGAATAGTCTGGTGTGAACACTTTTCTTGATTTAAAATGTACAGCTTCCTCCAAGGATCCTTTTAACAGCAAACTCAACCAAAAAATATATACAGAGGATACAGCTGTAGATCTACAACAAAAAATAGCATAATACAGTAAAGGACACACGTAGAATAACACTCACAGAATGAAGACATGTTATGTCGATTTGGGGTGCCTCCTCTAATAATTCGGGGGGCTAATCCAGGGTTTCTCCACTATGGGCGGCAGTCACCATCTATTTATGAAGACCAGGTTCCGTAAGTATAAAATGGAATAAAAAAAGTATAAAAACAAAATACAACATATGGTCCTACACGTTTCATCCTAAACAAAAAATCAAAATAACAAAAAAAACAATAAATCAAACAAAATAAAATTACAAAACAATAACAACAAAATTGCATTTAAAACAATCCTGAATAGGAGGAAGCAGCATGCTTCTACTTCCTCGTTCAGGATTGTTTTATATGTAAGCAGCATACTGCTTCTTCCTATTCAGGATTGTTTTATATGCAATATTTTTGTTATTTTATTTCATTGATTGTTTGTATTTTATTTGTATGTATTTTTTTGTAATAATTTTTATACCAAATTTATACTTATGCAATAAATTTGATCCTGGTTTGGAAAATCCAGCCCTTCATATAGAGAAGGTGACTGCCTTCAGGAGTGGAGAACCCAGAATTAGTCCCCCAGAATACTAAGGGGAGGTATCCCGAGGAGACACAATACAGCTTCATTCTGTGAGTGTTATTCTATAGGTGCACATAGTTTACTGTATTATGCTATTATTATATTTCTTCTTGTAAATCTACAGCTGTATCCTCTGTATATATCTTTGTAATGATTGTTTACCTTATATATACACATTATTCTTAATACATTATTTTAAAACTAATTTCAAGGCAATCACACCAGAAATAGTGTAACAAAAGGGGAATTAGAGGTGTTATCCCAAAGATACATTAAATTAAAAAATACCCCAACTCATCTATTTTACCAGCCTGACTATTTTAACCTACAATTTGCACATACCTGCTCAGCTTTTCCCATGTACAATCCAACACTCAGATATAGATATAAACATATATATAGTGACAAACTATTGAACTTGAGCTCTCCTGTTGCCTTCAATCAACCAGACACCAAAACCAAAATCTGAGTCAGTATTCAGCATTTTGAATCTTGAAAAAGTCCAGGAAGGACAAAATCAGCCAAGGAAGAGAATCCACAATGCAAGCTTTGGCCATCAGAGGGAGTAGTATTGGCACTCAACGCGACACTGTCCTTTCATTATTCTAAGACAATCTCTCCTTCCTTTTCTGATAACATCTACCCTCCTTATCCTATCTCTGATGGAGTTTCTCAAGGCTCTGTCTTCATAACACTTAGATTTGCTCTTTTTACTGCTTTGCTTTCAAAACGCACTAATTCTATTAAGTTGAACTATCACCTAAATGCCGATGACAAGCAGATATACCTGCTCTCCCCTGCTCTCTCTCCCTCTGTCTGATTGCACAACCTCAAACTTTCTAAAACTCAATCTGTGAAAAACAGAGCTTCTAATCTTCCCACTTTATGATACTAATCTTTTTCCCTTGACACTCTTCATGAAAGTTGATGGTGCGCACATCCTTGCCAGATTGCTGCCTTGGTGTTATCTTCATTCACCTCATGTCTAATCTGTCACCAAATCCTGACAATTCCACTGTAAAAACATTTCCCGCATAAGCTCCTTTCTTAAGCAAGATACTGCTAAGGAGTTGGTTCATTCTCTTGTAATTTCTCGTATTGACTACTGTAATTCTCTGTAAATTGGTCTATTCAGAAACCATACTCTCTACAGTCTATAAGGAAGCATTATCTCTCCAATCACTCCTATCACACATCACCCCTCTCTCAATTATTATTTTGGTTTCCTGTACTCTACAGGATTCGGTTTCAAATAATAACATTTACCTAGCAAACACTCAACAACTCTACTCTCAGGTACAGTTCTTCACTAATTCATAATTACATCCCTGCTCAGTTACTCCACACTGCCGGTATCTTCTGCTATTCACTGGTCACTTCCCTACTACTGCTAACTCATGCTTACAGGACATCATGCAGGTAGCTCCATTCTTATGGCACAGCCTGCCTTCTCCCATCAGACTCTCCCCCGGTCTTCAATCCTTTAAGAAGTCCCCGAAAAATCCACATCTCAACAATAACCTATGGCCTCCCGGGGTAATTGTAATTCCTGAAACCTATCACCTATTCTCTCAACCTAATTAGTAGGTCCATTCTCTCTTTTACTTAGTTGCTATCTGCCATGCTACCCTTCCTATTATGTTTTTATACCTTACCTCCTTTAGATTGTAAGCCTCATCAATCTATTGTGTCTGTCAAACAATGTAATAGCTGTGTCTCACTTGTTTGGGACACTATAGTCAACAAAACATATTTAGCTCAATAAAGCAGTGATGCACGTCATGCATCTGAAGTCTCCCTGCTCAATTCTCTGCCATTTAGGAGTTAAATCACTTTTGGTTCTGCTTACACAGCCCTAGCCACGCTCCCCCTGGCTGTGATTGACAGAGCCTGCATGAAAACAAAAGTGTTTATTTTTCAATCAGATGTAAATTATTTTAAAAGTTTTTATCTCCTGCTCTGTAAAATGAACTTTAATTACATACCAGAGGTTCCTGTAGGATCTAGCAGGCTATTAACAGAGGAGGAGATAAGGATTTCTAACGTAAACCTAATTTGCAATAAAGTTAGTGTTAACATTTGATGACTCTTTACAGGAAGTGTGACTCAGGGACTATGACTGCATAAACAAAGTAATTTAACTCCTAAATGGCAGAGAATTGAGCAGTGAGACTGGGGCATGATCTATACACCAAAACTGCTTCATTAAGCTAAAGTTGTTTTGGTGACTGTAGTGTCACTTTAATAATTTGGTAAAGCCCTACAGAGTAAGTGAATGGAAAAACATTACTAATAAGAATGATAATGATGCTATAATGGGGTCACTACTAAACTCCTCTTACACTGATGTGTCCTAAATATGGATTGCATGCAGTGTTCCACAATTGCAGATTTAATGAATACCTCTGCAAATATATAAACTTATGGGAATTTAAAAAAAAAACAAAAAAACTAACAAAAAAAACATACCTTGTTTCTATATTTGGTTTGTTTGGAATCAGTTACATCATACTTTATATTAAATTCCAAGCGCATAGTGTGCAGAGCCTGTGCAAAGGCATATACCGCTATGTAAGTGAGATAAGGAGAAGGAATATTTCGATATTCTGTAAAGTTTCCTTGCTCATTATTAGTGCAGGGGTAAGGAGAAACGTTATATAGGAACAGGAAAATCAGTGTCTTCAACATGTTTTTCAAACTGCAATTATAGCGTAACATCCAAATATCTTCAAGTAACGGATCTCCAGGGCGCATGGATGGGTTAGCCGACTGTAAAATGTTGTCTATTTGAGGGAAATAGTTTGTGATGGGTGCAATACTCAAACTACCATGAAACAGTCCTATGGAGCTTAAACCAGTGTACAAATTCAATGGCCATGAGCCTGGAATAACTAAGGTTACATTTTTGAAAACTGATCCAGAATTTTGAAAAAAGTGCAAGTAATTAATAGATATTGCACCACAAATGATTACAACCCGAGTGGTTGATTTCTCAATAACAGTCATGCTCTTTAGGTTACTTGGTAACGATTTGGACATTTTAATAACAAACTCAATGCAGATCTCATGGCGGGTGAGCTCCTGCCTTAACTCATTGAGCTCCTTCTCTCCACTTTCATCTTCTGTTGTAATTATTCCAACCCAGTTCCAACCAAAATATTGCAACAGTTTTGAAATAGATGCATAGAAAACCAGATCATCCTGAACTGTCCGTAAGAAATATGGATAAAGCGCTTTGTCACTTAGCAGCGGGTCGGTTGCTCCATAACTGATCTAGATATATAATATACTTAATTTAGTTTATTATCAAATAGCAAAAGGAAAACAGAAAATTATTACAATTTTTAGCTCAATTTACCAACAACAAACATTGAAAAACTTTGTATCACAGAAAATGTATACTACTCCCTTCCTCCACTGCAGCAGGAAGCATTATTTTTGAGCTAAGCGGTACAGGTCTTAGATCATTAACTTAAATTAATCAGCTTTCAGACAAAAATCCTAGTGCTGGACGGCAGGGTTTAGCTCAGGAAAGCTAATGGAAGCTCCCAAGTTGGGCCCCTTTGATGCTGGGAGGAAGTGACAGTCAGTCACTTCCTCCCAGCTTACTCCACACGGGAGGGAGGAAGAAGATAGGAGAGCCAGGCCAACTCCCAACAGCCCCACCCACTCTCCTTCAACTAAAAGGTAAGAAACAGGAAGGTGCCTGAAAAGTTACTTGTTGTGTGTGTGTCAGTATGTCTGTGTGTATATCTGTGTGTGTGTCAGTATGTCTGTCTGTGTATATTTGTGTCAGTGTGTCTGTGTGTGTATCTGCATTGCAGTGTGTCTGTGAGTGTATCTGTGTGTCAGTATGTCTGTGTGTATCGTAGTATATGTGTATACAAATGTGTTTTTTATTGCTCTATTCTCTACCAATGGTCTATACTATCACTGAACATAAACCCTCTACACTCTACCAATAAGCTATACTAGGGGTTCCCCAATTCATTTTTCCAGTGGAACCCTTTGACATAATGTGCTAACAACGTGGAACCCCAAACAATTTTTGGCACCGTAGCACAGATAATAACCCGATAGTAGAACTTAACAGCAGGAATAGAAGCTGATTGTGGTGAATCATTGAAAAAAGGTATTAAAAATTAACTTTTATTAACCAAGTTTAAATAGTAAAACCATCCCCAGTGCTAGAATTTTAAAAGCAATGAGACTTCAAAGCAGAACATAGAACAAAAATAATATGGAACAAAAACATTGTCTATCTAAACTAGACTGGACAAATAGTGAAATTGTAGCAAATAGTAGAATTTCTCAGGAATAACAATTTCTCATAACTGGATGCTCTGTGATATGCCAGATGCAACTAGTTAGTTTAGAAGCTGCTATTTTGGAGCAGAAACCAGAGAGAGATTGTAGCAGTTAAAGGAAAATTTATCCATACTTACTGTAATTTTCTTTTCCTGGTCATATGCCATGGCAGGACAACGATGAGTAGCTCCTCCCCTATCCCTAATTAGACAGGAACTAATTAAAATACATGTATAAGTATCTCCTCCTATCCCCTCCTCCCTCAGTCTTGTTACTAGCAATATCCCAGGGCGGGACATTGTGCTGCCATGGCATATGACCAGGAAAAGAACATTATGGTAAGTATGGATAAATTTTCCTTTTTCCTGGCCATATCCATGGCAGCACAATGATGGGTAATACCCAAGCAATAACCAAGGGAGGGAAGAAGAAATAAAGAAACCACAGACTCCGAAATATCATATGCAAAGTGTATTTGTACCACAAACCAAGTCACAAACACCAAGACTTCAGGAATCAAGGGTCTCACACAGAAAGGACACTTTTAACAAATTGGTCCGAATAACCAGCTCTGACATTTACTTGGTAATGTCTGATCAAAGTATTGGCAGAGGACCAAGTGGCAGCTCTACAAAGCAGCTCAGGAGAGAGCTTGGATGATGGCTGAAACAATCCATCTGCTAATGGTAGATTTAGGAGCCTGACTGCCCTTTCTACATCTGTTATAAAAGGACAAAGAGGCCTTGAGATAAACGCCAAGAGGTGGTTCTGTCAATGTGGATTCTGAGGCATCTCACCAAATCCAAGTAGGAAAGATCTCGGTCATCACCATCTATTTGTGGAACCGGATGCAGAGCTGGGAGAACAATTTTCTCATTAATATGAAAGGCGGAGGTGACCTTAGGATTTTCTGGGATAGTATGAAGGATGACCCTGTCCTTATGGAAGACTGTGAAAGGCTCCTTGAACGACAGAGCATGAAGTTCCGAGACCCTTCTGCCTGAGGCCAAAACCACCAGTAAGGCAGTTTAATGGAGGGGAAATGGAAAGGCACTGAATCCAAAGTTTAAATCTTGGAGAACCAGAGGCAAGTCCCAAGGTAGAGTGAACGGCTTAATCAGAGGTCTGATTTTTTTTAGTACAGCTTTACGAAACCTGGCCACGTCCGAATCAAAGGCCCATTTGTGGTTAGTTAAAGCCGACAAGGCAGATACAGGGAATGCAGGGAACTTCCACTCCTCTTGCACGTGGTCGCATTGACAATGGACACCCCAACCCCAATGGCTGGCATCCGTCGCTATTACTATCCATGGAACGTCTCCCAAAGGGAAGCCACCAAACCAGGGAAATGTGAACTGACAACAGAATCTTGATGGGCTGGAGTAAACTCTTTGAGGAGAATCGGAGGAGGAAGTTTGTTTGAAAGCTCCTCATTCTCCATTGTGCCCACCTTGTCAGTCCTATCGTGGAGGACATGGAATCCAGGAGACTCATTAACTTTTTCGCTGAAGTCACCATGCATGCCAATGTCTCCAGAACCTGTTTCCATATTCTCATGATCCTCTCTGGGGGAATCGTCCCTGCTAAAGTGTCGAACAGAGCACCCAGGTATGTCATGGACTGACTCGGGCAGAGATGACTCTTTTTGACATTGATCCTCCAACCGTGACGTTGTAGGAACTGAAGGCAAACAATTGCATGGGAGGATAAAATGTCCTTGTCGTCCGCCACGATCAGGGTGTCGTCCAGGTAATAGAAGATGGATATGCCCTGTTTTTTCAGTTCTGCAATGAGAACAACAAGCACTTTTGTGAAAGTATTTCTGATGTGCTAGGGCTATAAGGATGTGGAAATAGGAAAGCAACAAGTTTATTGATAACATCCACTGATTTGGAAAGACAGCCTTCACTATAAATTAAAGGGACTCCATCTTGAATCTGCAGATATGCAAGTACTCAGCCTCAGATGAGAAGTCAACAGCCAATTTAAAATCTTTTAGGCTGTCCAGTATGGAGGGACAGCTCCTGCCGTTCTTAATATCCTCATCCAAATTCTCCACCAAACCTTAAGCGCCCTGGATACTGACATAGGCCCGTACCTGAAGCTATGTAAAGACTGAAGTCCATCTTTCTGTCCAAAGGGTCTTTGAAGAAACCCGCATCATCAACAGGTAAAGTGGTACATTTGGCCAATCTAACCATGGCTGCATCTACCTTGGGAGCGGAATCCCATGTTTTAGCATCAGTGTCCTCAAAAGGATACAGTCTGGAAAATGTTCTTTTTGAAGAGGATTTTATGCCTGATCTGTACCATTCCTCTTTGATGAGGTCTTTTATAGTCACATGGACTGGAAAAGTAGTCCTCTTCCTCCTAAGGTCAGAGAAGTGGCAACTGGATGTGGAAGGTTCATCCTTAGAAGGTTACTTCAAACAGAGTCTTGCGGACCCTGGATATCAAATGGTCAATTGCAGCAGGTTCCAGGAAATCTGGAGCTGGAAGCACCACATCCTCAGAAGAAGAACCTAGATCTCTCAGGGATTCCATAGACATACACTCCACATCAGAGACATCTGGAGAACACTCAGAAGGTTCCAAACACCTTGGTCGCTTGCGGGACTTCCCAGCTTCCTGAATGCCCAGAGCGACTGCTTGTGAAATATACTGCATTATGTAAGGCGCAGGTTGGATGGAGGACTGCCTTTGAGATGGGCCCACAGCCACAGATAGGTAAGAAAAACAGAGATGTTTCCCCTCCAGGGCTCTGTTATCACAGGATACACATTGTGTCCTTCTGAGCGACTTCCCTTTGGAGGACACTGAAGCTCTAGTCCCCTTAGAACTGCCGAAACAGGGACAGAACAGTGTATCAGTGATACACACTCTTTTTAAATGTTAGATAAAACAAACCAGAAAAAAAAAAACATGGATTACCTTTTAGACTTAGGTTGTGACCTTTGTTTGGTGGGGAAGCTTTAGAATTAGAGGAATCTGACTTCCCTATCCATCTTCAGAACCAAATGCAAGAAAGAATCTCAAATTGAAATTCAGAACAAATTGAAGGATACCACTTTAAAAAATAAAAAGACAGGAGATAGGAGGAAGCAATGTAGCATTCGCCAGAACAATTCCCACCAGTATGTGAACCAGTGAATCAGGCGAACGAACAGGCAAACGAACAGGTGAACGCACAGGCGAATGAACAGGCGAACGAACAGGTGAACGAACCATTCGTATGAACAAACGGACGTTCACCAGAATTCATGCGAACAGCCAAAATTCAGACGAACTGCTAAATTTTTGGCGAACGGCTAAAAGCACGAACGGACACAAAACCAATCAGCAAACCATACAAACGCATGTGTGTTCGAAAAAAACGAGTGAAAATGAAATAAACCACAGGGACTTACCTCTTCAGAAGGACAGTGGGAAAGGCGGAGGCAAGCCGGAAACAGGCAGAAGTCCAGACCAGCAAGGTACACGTCCAGGTCTATATTCACCTGCCCACTGCTACCCCTAGGGGTCACTGCAGCATTAGGGAACCAGGCATAACAGCTTGCTACCCATTACAGCAAGTACCAGACCACCGGTCACTAAAGGGGTACTCTCCAGGGGGTCACCTTTGCGCAGGGCCGTGTAACTGGAGACTTCCCAAGGGAGAGAGGCTGAATTCCCAAGGGGCCAGGGGAACAAAGCCCAAGGTAAGCCATAAAAGAAAAATAATAGTTCCAAGGAAAAAACACATGTCATAAAGGGATAGGACAGGAACAAAAAGACGGAGGGAGGGGGGATAGGAGAAGGTACTTATACATGTATTTTAATTAGTTCCTGTCTTTAGGGATAGGGAGGAGCTACCCATCCTTGTGCTGCCATGGATATGGCCAGGAAATTGAGATTTCTCAGGAATAGCAGTTTCTCATTAATTAAATACTCTGTGATTTGCCAGGTGCAGCCAGATTGGTCAATTTAAAGGTTGTTACCTAGTAATTACATCTGAGACAGAGCAAAAATCTGAGAGAGGTTGTAACAGATGAGTGAGTTTTCTCAAAAATGGCAATTTATCATAACTGAGTGCTCTGTGATTTGCCAGATACAGCCAGATACAGCTAAATTGTTAAATTCAAAAGGTGTTAACTGGCAATAGCGTCTGTGTCATTGTAAAATCTTTTTATTAAAAAAAAAAAGATTTAAAAATGGTGAGAAAATATATTTTTTAGTAATCTTCCTATTCAGCTTCCTCGTGTGCCTCTTAGTGATGCCGGGGCCGGAGTGAAGTCATATTCCGGCTCCGGCATCACTGCAGTGCGCGCAAGGGAAATGAGCAGGGGAGAGTGCTCCCTCGCAGTCTGCCTCATTTATCAGCGGCACCTGACCGGGCCAAATTGCGGCAGCCATTTTGTGTGCCGAAATTACAGTGGAACCCTATTTTCAGTGTTCTCATATTCTCTGTTTTTGCTTTTTGCTCTGTGTATTTGGGGTGATAAATACTATAGCCACTGCTGCAACCCAAGCAGAACTTTCATATTCTTTTCACCAATGCATTTTTTGTCTTCCATTATACAACGAATATAAATACAATGTTAATGAATTACCTGTGTGTATCCATACATGCTGAGAATCTGAGCCATTGAAATGGTCGTAGAAGATTTGAGATCTCCTATAAATCCAGCAACTTTACCCTGTTCCTGGCAGGAGTAATTAGGCACTTCTGATGCATTTCCAGACAGTATTTGAAGGACACTTTGAATGGCTCTCTTCTCATCTCCACATGTATCATAAACATGGTATCCCAGAGTGACATTCGGTAAAATATCTGGGTCATTGTTTATTTCATCAATAGCAAAGATAGACGTTAATAGATTTATATATTGTGTAGGAGCAGGTCTGTGAAAAGAAATGAAAACCTCTAAAAAAAAAATACCTTTTAAACATTAAAACTGATGGGGAAGATGTATTATTAATTCATTCTTCAGACATTGATTGGGCCAGAAGGACTAGTAGTACAGTCAAGGGGAACATGTTTTTGAACCTGATAAAATATAATTCCATCAATTAGAAGAAATACTTGTCTGAACGTTGTCACAGCTAAAATGTTGACTTTCTTTCAAAAACTCATGTTAAGGAGCACTTGGGAAACAGTGACCATGATTTAGCATATTCCTCATACGTACTATTGGGAACAAATATAAAAGAAGCAAATTAAAACCCATGTACTTTAGTGCAATGATCAGTCAAATGATAAAATAAGAGGGCATTCAAAACATTTAAGTCAGAGGGGTCAAATGCATCCTACAACAAATATTAAGCATGCCAATACGGCTTGCAAAAAGGGCAATTATATAGGCTAAACTTGGAAATGAAAAGCTTGGTAGCCAAATAGGGCAGGGCCAACCTCTAAATGTTTTCAAGTACATTAATGTCAAAAGGTAAAGTGTGATACTGTTTCCATAGGAAATTGAGATGAGTGGGTTAATAAAGGAGGATCAGGACAAGGCAGAAATTGAAAATAATCTTTATTCAGTATATAGGGAAGAAGAATCTGTGGCTGTAGATTTGCGAATCCCTGTTACAAAAGCCTCACAGCAAATGGGTTATCGGTTAGCACAGGATAAAGTGCTTCAAAACTTAAACAAAGTTATTGTAAACAAAGGCCAATGGCCAGATGGTGCTTGGGGAAGTTAGAGTAGAAATATCCATACCCCTGTTTTAAAATTTTCAGGATTCTGAAAAAGCCACTTCACCACTGGGGTTTGGAGGAGGCTACTTGCCAGCCTTTTACCTGTGACTATAGCCCCTTTAATTTATTATGGTTAAAAAACCTATTTGCACCCATTATGACTTTGAACAATAATTCTTCGAACATTCGGACAGCCGGACCACACGCAAGTTGAGTGTGCAGCCTATTTACCTCCCAGGATGGTAGTTAACCACAGCCAAATTGCCGAACGGACGGGTGGTTGCCATTCGTATAGATGAACATGTGGTGGCAGCCATCTTGTTTAGTCAAACATGTTCAGCTGTGTTTTGTCATCGAGTGGAACTCTAACTGCTGCACAGTTACCTTCCATGAAACTTTGGCTATTTGAACGGGAGTCAAACAGCGTTCAATGGGCAGAAACCCATGAACAAGGGACATATACTGACTACATTCACGAACGGTTACGTTCGGTCATTTGAACAGCATTTCAACTATTTGAAATAGACCGGCCGCACAGCCCGATTCTCTGGAACTGTTTTGGGCATGAAACCATGCATGCGGTCAGTAAAAAAAGAGACTTCCAGGAATTTCCTGAACCCCTGCTATGATCTAGGTAATTTTTGGATATGTTGATCACCCAGATCATGGTTATTTAGGGGGATAGGTTGTGTATTGGGTACTTTTCATACTTTAAAAAAATTTGTGTTTTTCTGCCTGGAGATAATTAAGTTCATAAAGAGCTTGAGTCAATTTTATCCTAGGCTGAGGGGAGGGATTGTGTGTAATGTGTGGGAGTGTCACCTACTGTACTGCATTATCATTGGCTCATAACAATTGTCATCCTGTTCCCCACAAGGTCCAAGTGGGTGTTCTTTTGCATGGGGACTTGCAAATAAGACCAGCTGTGGCACCATTAAAAGAGAGTGGAGTCCTGCTTAGCCCTTTTAAATGTTTTAACTGCAATCGTGGGAAATATACGATTAGTAATGCAAAGGGTAATTGTCTAGTTAGTATTACAAATGTTTAGCTAGAACATGTTTATTAATATTTATATTTAACATATTTTTATTAAATATTATCTTTTGCTGCACTCGGAGTGATTGACATTTGGTTATTACATGTTAGGATTAGTGATGTCGCGAACCGTTTGCGAACTTGCCGCGAACGGTTCACCGCGGTTCGCTACGAACCGTTCGCGGCGAACTCCAGTCAGCTGACACATCTCTGCCAATCTCCAGCAGACCCTCCCTCCCAGACCCTCCCACCTCCTGGACAGCATGAGCTTCAACATGGATGCTGTCCAGGAGGTGGGAGGGTCTAGGAGGGAGGGTCTGCCAGAGATTGGCAGGGATGTGTCAGCTGACCGGAGTTCCCCGCGAACGGTTCGTGGCGAACCGTTCGCGGCAAGTTCGTGAACGGTTCACGACATCACTAGTTAGGATATAACTTTGCTGAAATACCTTATGCAGTTAATGATCTAAATTTATAGCTGTAAAAAATAAAAGGGTTGGTTTTGAATGTTTGCAAATATATGTGGACTTTCATTAACTCTATTGTTAGTGTAACTAGGTTACACCAGGACACATGACTGGCCATCTTGATGCTCTTTTAAGCACATAATTGGCAGCCATCTTGGTTATATGAAAAGTTTAACACAGTAGTTGTTGTGAAACCTTTTGAATTGCGCAAACTAATTCATCCAAAACCACGAACCACAACAGGTATGGAAAACATAAGTTAAAAGGCTAGAAAAACTGGAATTAGTTTCTTTAGAAAAAAAGACGCCTCAGTGGGAATATAATAGCACTATACATATATATTCATGGTCAGTACAACCTGCTATATGCTAACCTGTTTAGCAATATACAACAGACAAGAGGTGTCACATTACCCACCTCATGGTGCAATGCACTCATTACGGCACAGCATGTTCCCAACACCCGGCACTTCCTCTTTCCGCCTCCGATACTCACTTTTTTTTTTTCACGCCGTGCTCGTCTGCCCTCAACTGGCCCTGCCTCTATGGCTGAGATCATCAAGCTTGATGATCTCAACCAATCCAATGCTCTGCCATAGGATTGGCTGCAAAACGCTACACCAATCAGCATCTCCTCATAGAGATGCATTGAATCATTGTATCTATATGGGGAACGTTCAGTGCCTCCAGAGTCACTGCCTCCAGAGTCACAGTCACTGTGCAGCACTGACACAGGAAACACCTCTAGTGACCGTCTGAATGACTGTCACTAGAGGTGTCACTAGGAAGCAATGTAAACACTGCCATTTCTCTGAATTCAGACGAGGACCCAGTGAGCTCTTGCCAGCAGCTCCGTTGGGGTCCTCTCATAAGGCTGGAGCATTGCCACGGCAACACTCAGATCTTCTGTGAGTGAACTAACCACAGGCTAGAGTTCACTCTCACTAGGACCACCAGGGATCAGATATGGCAGCAGGGATCCCCCTCCCAGGTAAAAGGTAAGAAGGGAGGGGGGCTATTTCCTAACCTGTCCCCCTACTCCCACACACAATCCCTCCAAACAAATTTACACACAGCACACACATAGCACCCACACACTCAGCACCCTTACATACACACTCACAGCACCCTCACACACAGCACACTACCAGCACACAACACCCTTACACACAGAGAACCCTAACACAACACACAGCACACTACTAGCACCCTCAAACACAGCACACTACCATCACCCTGACACACACACACAGCACCTTAACAGCACCCTCACACACACGTCACCCTCACACACAGCAGTGTATGTATGTTTGTATGTATATATATATATATATGTACATATACACGCGGTGTGTGTGTTTGTGCTTTAGGGTGCACATCCTTATGCAATAGGCTGTGCATGCCTTTGGTGTCTGCATGCGAGTATGCTTACTGTATAATTAAATCTTTTACTCTAAAAGGACCAATATTTTATATTACAAAAGTCTATATATATATATATACACACACACACACACATGTAAAGGCTTGTTGTGGGAGGGGCTTGTTGCTCCTAATTAAGCAATCCCCCCTCTACCTGCATCACCGTGGATTCAGACGTTCTGCAGGCGATTACATCCAGTTCACTACTTCCGGGTCACGATCCTGTTGCTTGGTCTGTGTGTTCCACGGTTGGCAACCAGATGCTCTTTTGCTAAACCACTTGGGTGCTCGGTAAACCGTAAGTTTCCGGTCCCTTCATCCCTCTTCCACATGCTCGTGGTCCGCTCTGTGGGGGGCGGTATTCACACACGGACGCAGACCACCTCCTCATTTGATGACTGTTTGTTTACTTCTCCCACGTTGGAGAAGCTCCTGTCAGTACAAGTACATGTTACATATGACGGTTAACGCTCGCATTGCTGGGCATACTGTATACTACTGGGTTACAGCACTGGGACCAATACAGTACTGTACTGTTAAACTAACTCCCATGTGGCAAAGCTATTACGTACTCAGGCATTACTGGGAAGTCTGCCCTATTGCATATACTTTACACAGGGATGGCTCAGCTTTTAAGTCACCTCACTTATGGAGGATTTTACACTGGGAGACAGATTAGGAAAATGCCGGTTTTTAAAACTATTCTAACAGACAGGTTTTCCTCCTTCCCTTTCTTTCGTTCTATATATATTTTATGTTTATTGCTGTTGGTAAAATAATATATATATATAAATTTCGTGTTGATTAGCTAAGGGGAGGCAGTTACAGAAAATTATGTGTACACATGGTTATCCATATAGAGATATGGAGCTGCTTCCAAATTTAAAGAATGTTAAATTATTGAAGCTCTTACCTTCTACAACATATGACCTCTTATTCTTCGTATGGTTAATCACCAGGAACACCACGCGTCAGTACAGGCAAAAAACCATTTGAGCAGGTTATTGAACCATGGTCATACTCACGTATATTATCAATTATATAAACTTTGGTTAAGATGGTTATTCTGGTCATATATTTTATTTTACTCACTTCGGTAATGTACTAAGGCTAATAGTTTTCAGAACAAATACAAATAACACTCTTCATGCTGGAATGAAAATTCTGCAGGAGAATGTCAGCTGGAAATCTTAGTTTACATGAAAAAAAAATAGTAAATAAATAAATGCTTATCAAACCAACTCCATATTATAACCAAAAAGTGGTGGTCAAAGACAGAAAAAAACATAACTAAAGCCAAGTGGCTAATCCTCCACATGCTCTGCTTAAGAGATTTCCTGGTGTTCAGACTCTTGACTTTAATAATATGGTGGTCAATGTCTGAAGTGGAATCGTATTTTATGCGTGAGCAGAGAAAAGTGTCCAGACAACACTAATCTGCATAGACTTCTCTAAATAGATAGCTTTTTCCAAATCACGTTGTATTTCACTATAGCTATCTCTTTAGTCCAGGTAAAAAGTCTTTAAAAATAGTGGTAAGTGGAGAAGAAATCATTGTGTGGATAATTAATGTAAAAAAATCACACAGTGAGAATGGATCTAGACAATGTTATTAAGTCTGTCAGACAAAGTTACAAGTATCTACAGTCTCAAATGTGATAGATGAGAACTAGCCTTGCCAGGACAAACTACGATTCAGCCTGTGTAGAAGTATATAAAGTAGATATCAGTTAATCTCAGATGCTTGAATCAATAGTCTAGGTATCCCCATCTCATTAGACATACTCACAAGGCTGTGAGTGCTCCTCCACTTAAGTAAAAGTGTAGACTGGCTAGGAGGAATGAAAAAAAGGAGAGAATAGAATTAAGTGCAGAACCATGCATAGAGTGCTGGTTGCCTGCATGTTTGTGATAGAGTGCCCTGTGCAAACATAGAAAAGCCCGACGCTCGGTTCGGTGCCTTGGATTTGCACCTTCGTCAGGGGTAAAAGCTGTAATGACCGAGAGGGCTCTTATGTAGATGAATGCCTTGCTGAAAATGATGTGTTGAACCAATCGCTGGTTAACACGTGTCTATCTTTTGGTGCCAAGATAGTGATGTCTATTTCAGATTTCAGATTTCAAATTGGTCCAGTCAAAAGAGTAAGCCCACGTCACATGTTAAAACCTGTTTTTTTATCTGGGAAGGTTCGGAGAACTCCCTGAATTCTTTTATTACTCACCTCAACACAAATAACAGAGGAATCATTTTAACATGTGAGTACAGTAGGGAATCCATGAATTTTTTAGATTTACAAATTTTTATTAAAGACAATAAGCTTAATACTAAAACATTTTTTAAAAAAGTCTGCACTAATACAGCCATGGACCGATCAAGCTGTCACTACAAACCCTGGCTTGAAAGTGCCCCCAAGAGCCAATTCCTACGTCTTCGTCGAAATTGCACCCTAATAGACAATGTTAATGACCAGGACAATTTAAAAAAAAAAATATATATTGAAAAAAAATATTCACCCAGCAGTTTAAATAACACTATCAATAAAGGCAAAGATCGAGAGAGAGACAACCTGCTAATATATAAAGATAAAAACACTATAGACCCTCCATCTATTCCCATGATTTTTAATTTCAATGATAAAAGTGTCCCTATTAAAAGAATTGTGAAAAAAACACTGGCATTTATTGAAACAGCATGAAACACTAAAGAAAATTTTACCCAAAAAAACAAATATCATTTTTAGAGGAGCCCCGAATTTCAAATCCATCCTGACTACAAATTTTACAAGAGAACTTAAACCAAACAAACAAAACACAATTTCTCTTTTCTGACATTAAAGGTTTTTTTAAGAGCCAACGATGTGTAGTATGTTAAAGCACAGATAAATCTGTACCATCCAAAACCACACATTTTAAATGTGAACAGAACAAAAAAAACCTATAATATCAAGGATTTTATCAGTTGTAACACTAATTGTTATTTATCTGCTGGAGTGCCCATGTGGCCTCCAATATGTAGGGATGACCACAAGGAGCCTTAAAGTTAGATTAAGCGAACACTGTAGGAATATCACTAAAGTCTACCCTAACCACCCAGTGTCTAAACATTTTATAATACATAATAAGGACCCAAAATTACTGAAATGCACAGGTATCAAGAAATGTAATGTTCCATGGCGAGGAGGAAATATAAAAAATATCCTCGGAAAATCAGAAATGAAATGGGTTTTTAACTTACAGACACTTGCTCTAAATGGTTTAAATGTAGATTTTGACTTACATAATTTGATTTAATTTTTTAACTGTCTAATTATTTTTTATTTCTCTTTTTTAATTACTATTTTTTACTCTCATACACATTCATTGCATTCTTACTACTATCTAAACAGACATTATTGCTTTTTAATATTTCAATTATTCATTTGGACCCCAATTAATAATATCAATAATATCATCCTATATGGTGACTTTATACCACCAACCCTTACACAATTGACATTATCTATAAGGACAGATTAGAGACTACCCTAAACATAGTTGTTTCAAACTCCGGCATTATGTTCAGCAGTAGCCCCTTATTATGCCCATTGTGTACAATGTATAATTCACCTTTCACTACCTATTGTTTTATTTAAGCTATTTCTGTCAACTCCTGTACTGTCAAGTTTTAAAATTACTGCTTTTAATGCTATGCAGACTCTTACTCCCTCTCCTTCATTTTTATGTCTCTATTTAATTTATTCTAATCTGTCTTTTATCATTCAGTACTTATTTTAATCTATTATGGTCTTTATTCAGCACTTAAATTATTTTGTACAATCAATACTATTAGGGTGTTCCCCTTTAAATATAACTATCAAAATGCTCCCCTCAAAATATGGCCACCGTGCCCCACTTTCCCTGTTAATCACATTCACTTTCCTCTACTAAGATGGCCGCCATACTTTTATTATAGTGCTTTATTTTATGCCTAAATGTTTCCTCCATTTTATTTTCTATTTTTTTAATAACCATGTTTAAATACTTGTTTCCCACTCCCACTTCCATTTAAATTCGGCTGAAAATGTTTTGTATTCGCCGAAAACGGAGATCACCACCTTTTAAACTACACTTCCAATCAGACCTTGCGGCCGGTAAGCACAGCCGCGCACGTGACCTAGGTCATATGCTTTGGCCTTAAACAGCTGAAACAAGCTATATAACGCTTGTTTTTTAAATTCAACATTATGTCCATGGTCCCCATGACTTCTACTATTTACCCACACCATTATTGTAAGAAAAATGGCAGCAGAGAAGAAAAGACAGAGAAAAGAAATTGGGAAATTATGCAAAGAAGGGGTCAGATGGATACTCTCAAATTAGCCAAATTGATTAAAAATGTGTCTAAATATGATGAGCAGAGAGGACATTTTTACAATATGAGTGTTTTTGAAGGTGAAATGACTAAGAGAAAATTTGATGCCGTTTGATCTGGCTGCCAGCCTCATTAAGTGAAAGGGTTAAAAATGATTGATGTGTAGGAGGATAAGGCGAGTGAAAAGCCCAAAGTTGAGTTGGAGGAATAGTTTCCAAATAATACACAGAGATTGCTAATGGTTGTACAGCGTGCAATTGGTGTGAATAGTTTTAATTTTTTACTCTTGATTTACAGGGAGTGCAGAATTATTAGGCAAGTTGTATTTTTGAGGATTAATTTTATTATTGAACAACAACCATGTTCTCAATGAACCCAAAAAACTCATTAATATCAAAGCTGAATATTTTTGGAAGTAGTTTTTAGTTTGTTTTTAGTTATAGCTATGTTAGGGGGATATCTGTGTGTGCAGGTGACTATTACTGTGCATAATTATTAGGCAACTTAACAAAAAACAAATATATACCCATTTCAATTATTTATTATTACCAGTGAAACCAATATAACATCTCAACATTCACAAATATACATTTCTGACATTCAAAAACAAAACAAAAACAAATCAGTGACCAATATAGCCACCTTTCTTTGCAAGGACACTCAAAAGCCTGCCATCCATGGATTCTGTCAGTGTTTTGATCTGTTCACCATCAACATTGCGTGCAGCAGCAACCACAGCCTCCCAGACACTGTTCAGAGAGGTGTACTGTTTTCCCTCCTTGTAAATCTCACATTTGATGATGGACCACAGGTTCTCAATGGGGTTCAGATCAGGTGAACAAGGAGGCCATGTCATTAGATTTCCTTCTTTTATACCCTTTCTTGCCAGCCACGCTGTGGAGTACTTGGACGCGTGTGATGGAGCATTGTCCTGCATGAAAATCATGTTTTTCTTGAAGGATGCAGACTTCTTCCTGTACCACTGCTTGAAGAAGGTGTCTTCCAGGAACTGGCAGTAGGACTGGGAGTTGAGCTTGACTCCATCCTCAACCCGAAAAGGCCCCACAAGCTCATCTTTGATGATACCAGCCCAAACCAGTACTCCACCTCCACCTTGCTGGCGTCTGAGTCGGACTGGAGCTCTCTGCCCTTTACCAATCCAGCCACGGGCCCATCCATCTGGCCCATCAAGACTCACTCTCATTTCATCAGTCCATAAAACCTTAGAAAAATCAGTCTTGAGATATTTCTTGGCCCAGTCTTGACGTTTCAGCTTGTGTGTCTTGTTCAGTGGTGGTCGTCTTTCAGCCTTTCTTACCTTGGCCATGTCTCTGAGTATTGCACACCTTGTGCTTTGGGCACTCCAGTGATGTTGCAGCTCTGAAATATGGCCAAACTGGTGGCAAGTGGCATCGTGGCAGCTGCACGCTTGACTTTTCTCAGTTCATGGGCAGTTATTTTGCGCCTTGGTTTTTCCACACGCTTCTTGCGACCCTGTTGACTATTTTGAATGAAACGCTTGATTGTTCGATGATCACGCTTCAGAAGCTTTGCAATTTTAAGAGTGCTGCATCCCTCTGCAAGATATCTCACTATTTTTGACTTTTCTGAGCCTGTCAAGTCCTTCTTTTGACCCATTTTGCCAAAGGAAAGGAAGTTGCCTAATAATTATGCACACCTGATATAGGGTGTTGATGTCATTAGACCACACCCCTTCTCATTACAGAGATGCACATCACCTAATATGCTTAATTGGTAGTAGGCTTTCGAGCCTATACAGCTTGGAGTAAGACAACATGCATAAAGAGGATGATGTGGTCAAAATACTCATTTGCCTAATAATTCTGCACTCCCTGTATTTACAATGGAGAAAAATGACGATATACATGTTGTGCAAATTTATGGAATAAGGCCTGGAATTTGATTACAGACACAGAACCGTTTGCTATATCTGAAGAATAACATAGGCAGAGTGTTAGTGAATTTGTCTCTGGAATATCAGGTTACCAAATGAGATAAATGAAGAGATTTTGATGCACCAACAGTAGATTTTACTGCTATGGAAATTATGAAATCATTGCAATTGTTAAAAAGGAAAAACACAGTAACAACTAAAATGTTGCACAGACACACTTTTGTCTTGAGATTCTTCAGCAGGACTGGCCCCTATTAAAAATGTGTCTAGTGAAGAAGACAAAAGGAGATATAAGGGTATTAATTGAAATGGTAATTTTAGAGGGAGGTTTATGGAAAGATCACAAAATTAACAAAATTACCGGGGTGCTAAAACCTATTCGGCCACACCCCAAGATAGATATTAAAGGCTTTTATTAGGGTAATTCTATGGTATGTTATAATTATAACCAAGAAGGAGATATTGGATTAGGAGGATAGGAGATATTGTCCTAAATATAAAGAAAAACCTTACCCAGTGAAAGGGAAAGAAAATTCAATTTTCCCAGACCATAAGAATCTACAGAGAGTGGCAGCTGTAGAAACCGAACATACACCTTCAACCCCCCCTCACATTTCAAATTCATGTGAAGAGTGTAAACTGATGTTAAATGCCATTGAAAGAAAGGTGGAAGCAGTCACAAGTCCACAAGTAAAATCTGCCTAAACCCACCAATAAATAGGGTTGTGTAACCAATAGCTATTATCAGATCTATCTTGCTGGTATAACTAAGTGAAATCTGCCTAAACCCACCAATAAATAGGGATGTGTAACCCCCAGTTATTATCAGATCTATCTTGGTGATATAACTACGTGAAGATGGGCGACCATATATTTATGGAAGACTAGAGGGAAATATAACAAAGTTTCATTAGAAACAGGAGCAGCAGTGTCTCTAATAACACACGCTCGCCTTTAAAAATTTCAGCATATCACCAAATCCCTTCTAAATGTCAATGGGACACATGCACATGCAACTCTATCCATTGATAATGACATTGAGTTTGAAGGAGGAAAAATCTATTGTGATTTATGGGTGCACCCCTCCTCACACTGTATTGTTATAGAAATGGATGTTATTAATGGAAAAAAGTTGTATGTGGATTTATAAAATTTGGTTTTATGGCAAGCTCTGGGTGAGAGCAAAACAGGTTGAGTGGTTAAACCTAATGATTTAAGATAACATAGCCACGATATGACTGTAAAACAGAGTGAAGTGTCACCTTCTATGCAACAAGATGATGAGGTCAGGGCCGTCTTTAATATTGATTGGGCCCTGGGCAAGCATTTGATGGGGTCCCCTACTCCCTGACATGCAATCACGCTCTCTGACATGCAACCTTATGTATACACCCCTTTGTAACTGAATTTTAAACCTATAAAACTGATTGTAGCTAAGATTTTGTTACCAATACCTTTAACATCAAAAATGGATACCATCTTGAACATTGCTCTGTATTGGACAAAGACATTTAAAGACGTTTGTATGTTATTACTAGATGATGTTTTGAATAAATATATGTTTTAGCTGCAATACACTCTGATTCGAGTTGTTAAGAAAACTGGTGTGTGACAAACAAACATCTCAAGAAAAGCTAATTTCCTACACTTATCATTAGGTTAGACCTCTCTTCCACTATAGTAGTGGTGGAAGTCTCTGGTTCTGTGTTGGGTTGTGACCAATTTCTGACCTGGCCAAACACTCAAGGGGGCCTCAGGTAAGTTTTGCCTAATTCCCCCCTTCAAGATTGTGATTTGAGTGTTACTGGCTTACATAGTCTAAGCTGCCACTAGTACAGGGAGTGCAGAATTATTAGGCAAGTTGTATTTTTGAGGATTAATTTTATTATTGAACAACAACTATGTTCTCAATGAACCCAAAAAACTCATTAATATCAAAGCTGAATATTTTTGGAAGTAGTTTTTAGTTTGTTTTTAGTTTTAGCTATGTTAGGGGGATATCTGTGTGTGCAGGTGACTATTACTGTGCATAATTATTAGGCAACTTAACAAAAAACAAATATATACCCATTTCAATTATTTATTATTACCAGTGAAACCAATATAACATCTCAACATTCACAAATATACATTTCTGACATTCAAAAACAAAACAAAAACAAATCAGTGACCAATATAGCCACCTTTCTTTGCAAGGACACTCAAAAGCCTGCCATCCATGGATTCTGTCAGTGTTTTGATCTGTTCACCATCAACATTGCATGCAGCAGCAACCACAGCCTCCCAGACACTGTTCAGAGAGGTGTACTGTTTTCCCTCCTTGTAAATCTCACATTTGATGATGGACCACAGGTTCTCAATGGGGTTCAGATCAGGTGAACAAGGAGGCCATGTCATTAGATTTTCTTCTTTTATACCCTTTCTTGCCAGCCACGCTGTGGAGTACTTGGACGCGTGTGATGGAGCATTGTCCTGCATGAAAATCATGTTTTTCTTGAAGGATGCAGACTTCTTCCTGTACCACTGCTGAAATATGGCCAAACTGGTGGCAAGTGGCATCGTGGCAGCTGCACGCTTGACTTTTCTCAGTTCATGGGCAGTTATTTTGCGCCTTGGTTTTTCCACACGCTTCTTGCGACCCTGTTGACTATTTTGAATGAAACGCTTGATTGTTCGATGATCACGCTTCAGAAGCTTTGCAATTTGAAGAGTGCTGCATCCCTCTGCAAGATATCTCACTATTTTTGACTTTTCTGAGCCTGTCAAGTCCTTCTTTTGACCCATTTTGCCAAAGGAAAGGAAGTTGCCTAATAATTATGCACACCTGATATGGGGTGTTGATGTCATTAGACCACACCCCTTCTCATTACAGAGATGCACATCACCTAATATGCTTAATTGGTAGTAGGCTTTCGAGCCTATACAGCTTGGAGTAAGACAACATGCATAAAGAGGATGATGTGGTCAAAATACTCATTTGCCTAATAATTCTGCACTCCCTGTATAAAAATTTCTGGCCTCTTCGCCTTAATCTCAGTGGTCCCGCGAGGCCAACCCATTTCCTCCACACTTGAGGATATTCGTCCCTCGGGCCAAATCATAGTTAGCCCCCTTGCACGGTTGCATAGAGAGAGCCACCCTTGTCACTCCCTTTCCATTTTATGCTTTTATTTGTCATCGAGAGGCCCCGCCACAACGTTTTGGTAGCAGCAATTCCCTCGCGCCAGTCGATAGAGCCTCTCAAGCCACTTGGCATCTAGTAGGGCCTCACCTGTCACCACACTTAGGAAATTGTTTCACCACTTGGCCTTAGTTAGCCAGCCAGTAACCAATATGGCACAGTTGCTGATTATGTCTTGACTATTTTCTTTTAGTATGTCTCATCTACATGAAGATACAGACAATTTGTCTCTCCCCAGTTCTCCGGTCAGATCCTTGTCACCTTCATGAAAAGGCGACATCGGTAGTCCAACTTCTATAAGATCATGGACCATTCCTCGTATTACTGCCGAACTTCGTAGATGCAGTATTCCTTCTCCTGCCACCGCCAGGAAAGCGGAGCTGTTCAAGCTAATGTGGACGAACACCGATAACTCAGGGGATGGAGAGGGGACAAGTGGTCCAGGCAACTCAGACCTTCATACCATGGTTGCTTCACTAGTAGCATCTATGGGTAAGGTCAACGATAGACTTGATAGGATCAAGGCTCGGAGTCCTCCTGTTATGTCTTCTATGCCCTCGGCTACTGTACTCCCCGGTGCTCCACTATTGCAAACGGGTAATTACGTAATGAAACCCACATTATTAATCCGTTGCATCTGGTTCCAGCAAACATTAAGAAATACATCTTGGAGGGGAAAGATGTTAATCTTGTTGCACTATTTATTGCTTCACACAATGTTATCGAGAACAGCACTTATGCTTATGGTGATATTTCAGTGGTGCTAAAGGCCAGGGACCCTAGACTTAATAAGAAACTGTATATACACTATTTTGTCATAGTATTTTGTATCTACCAGGATGTAATTTGTTCAGGATACCCGCATAGACAAGAGGAACTCGACCTCTATTTGCACAAACTGGTGGACTTAGGAAATAAATATGGTGGGTCATCCTTTTATGATTACCACCGGTCCGTTTTCGGTGAGGGCGTCTGCAATTTTGGCTCAGTACAATGTTAAAACTGACTGGAGCCGTATGGATACTGAGCTATTTTGCAGACACTTGGCTGGTCTGAAGACACCAGCTTGTGCAATTTGTGCATCCACCTCACATGCCTCAGACTATTGTCCCATCATGCCAGAGTCCATGCCTGGGACTTTCCAGGAGACACAGACTAGGATGGACAGATCAGGCAAGGACAAACTCGGTCGTCCTATTGTTTACCTTGGGAAGTCGCAGGTGTGCAACAACTTTAATGTAGATAAATGCGGATATAGTGCCTGCATTGTTTTAGGGTTCATGCCAAGTCCATGTGTCCTAATAAAAAAGTAATGCTAAACAGTATTTGACATCCATAAACATTGGTTCTTTGGCTCACGCATTAGCTTCTTACCCATCCAAACATCTAGTGGATTTCTTGATTGATGGTTTCACAGAAGGATTTCATACAGGTCTGGTACATATCCCTGCTGGCATTTACGAATGCAACAATTTGCAATCAGCATTTTCTGACGTGGAAATGGTTGATGCTCTTTTACAAAGAGAATTGGAAGATGGGTTTTTGTTGGGACCTTTTCAGGCGCCCCCATTTTCCAATTGGAGAACCAACCCTATAGGATTAGTCACCGGGAAATCCTCAGGGAAACACAGACTCATTTTAGATCTATCCGCACCTCACTCCTTGGCCATACCTAGCCTTAATTCTCTAATCCCATCCGAAGAATTTTCCCTTCACTATGCCACCATAGACAATGCCATACACACCATTATTACAGCTGGTGTAGGGGCTTGGCTGAGTAAGATAGAAATCATCAATGCATTTAAATTACTACCCATACGCCTGTCGCTATGGCATCTGCATGGTCTGAAATTTATATTATTTTTTACAAGGCTCACTTTGGGGTCAAAAAGCAGCCCGAAAATATTTGATACCTTTGCTGAAACCTTATGTTGGCTCCTGTTTAACAATTGCAGATGCCATGCGGTGATACATTATTTAGACGACTTTCTGTTTGTGGAGAATAATTCCTCTCCTCCCAGTGATCTAACTACTGCCATTTCGTGTTTTTTCATTCCTTGGGTGTGCCAGTTTCTCCCAAGAAAACACAAGGCCCTGACACATTAGTTAATTTTTTTTGTACCCTGCTCGATTCAGTGAGCATGGAAGCGAGCCTGCCCTCAGGCAAACTTGATGGTCTCCTATGAACCATAAATTACTTTCTGCATAATAGGACATGCAAAGGAAAGGAATTGCAATCTTTGTTGGGCTCACTAAATTTTGCAATACACATCATTCCGCAAGATAGAGCCTTTATTTCTAGACTTCTTCCACTATTGCCAAATTACTTTAGCCGTATTTGCCTGGATTCACAGGCTACTGTTGATTTATTAATGTGGCGCAAATTCTTGTTGCAATGGAATGGCAGAAGTATGTTTTTACCACAATTGTCTATCCATTCTTCTGTCATTTGGATGGATACTGCAGCATCAACAGGTTTTGCTGCCATATTTGGCAATGAATGGCTCTGGGATGGTTGGCCAGAGGAGATTCAGCACATCGAAGGGTTCTCACACACCTCAGACTTATTCGAAGTATACCCTATCGTTGCAGCATCCGTGGTATGGGGTCAGTCTTGGGCAGGTAGCTCGGTACGCTGTTTCTCCGACACCCTAGCTACCTGCCACATCATAAACAGGGGACATTCCTCATCTCTGACGATCATGAGATTCATGAGAAGACTGACCTGGCTGGCTGCTTGTAATCAGTTTTATTTGGTGTGTTGTCATGTACCAGGGATCTATAATACTGCAGCTGACAAATTGTCTCGCTTTGAATTCCAGGCCTTCAGAGACACTTTAACCACAGCCTCCCCAAGAGACACTGCAGCACCGTGTTTTCAGGAACTTGTAATGGACTAAAAGAATTGGCAAGGCATAGTCTCGCCTTTGCTAGTTTGGCCCTCTCTGAAAACACAAAACTGTCTTACAATAGAGCCTTCACACTGTATAAGAGATTTATGTTAGAACATAACTTGGTTCAGTTTTTTACCATTTCAATGCTGGTAGCTTTCGCATCCTTTTGTCATCTCAAACTAAAACTATCACACAACACCATTAAATTATATTTAACTGGCATCCAACACCACATGTATACCTGATACCTAGATAATCCTAGTTTTTTATCATCTTAACCCATTAAAAACATACTAAAAGGCATACAGAAAACCATTATCACTCCTCCACCCATACCATTACCAATACATAAACAGTTATTTAAGGACATGTCTGACTTATTGGATACTGCCCCTTTTGAATACACTACAAATCTGGTAATTAAAACGGCCATTTACTTGGCTTATTACGGTTTTCTTAGACCTTGCAAATTTACCATACATGGTAATAAATACACCCGAGACTGCCTCAAACGTTCCTGTCTCATTAAATAACAAGATCACTATATCTTGTCCCTACCCATTACTAAAACAAGACAGCTTGGTAAAGTAGTGCATATCACATATTATCCTACTTCAAGCTAATGGTGCCCGGTAAAAGTGCTGGATACATATCTCCAATCATTACCGCCTCAGTCTAACATCCCACTGTTAGTCCTCCACAAAGCTGTATTAACAACAGTAAAGTTCATGCAGTACGTACGCATATTACTGACCAGACTAGGTCTGAATGCTAGCAAATTTTCTGATAGGGGCAGCCTGTTAAAATCACAGTGAGAAGATGCTGACGTCCATAGGAAAGCATTGAGAAAGGAGGGGTAAAGTAGTCAGATGGGAAGCGGTGGGCAGAATATCGCGGAATGCCCCCAAGTGGAGACAAGACAGGTGATTAGCCAATATCTTAGTAACCCCCGGGATGTGAATATAAGTGAGGAGAACTGATAATTGGACGCTACCCAAGTGAGTCTCCTCATAACGACCAAAATGAGGCTGGTCTTTGTTTACCATGTAACCAGCAGCTAGGTTGTCTGAGAATCATCTGACTGAGTGACCTGCTCAGCCAGGACCCCAGATATTTGCTGCTACCACTATTGGGTAAGGTTTGAATAAGGTTTTTGTTTTGGACTTGACTTCATTAGTTCCAGGACCCCAGAACAATTGATTGACACAAATGGTTGTGAAACACGAATTGGCAACAGCATCTGTCCAAGTGTCGAAGTGTTGGGGACTTGTCAGAGATTGGGTAATAAAACTTGCTTTCCCCTACCATGTCGTGAGAAGAGTGAGCCACATTAGTAAGTCAGCCATCACTTGTGGGTCTAAAGTGATGGGGGTATTGTGTAAGGGAACGTCACGAAATAAAGTCAGGAAATAAATGATCTACCTTGTGGAATCATCCTCATGGCAAAATTGAGCGAACCAGGTATAGACTGTAGTTCTTTATGGGTGCAAGAACCTAATTGTAAGTATAGGTCAATGCTTCGGAGGTTGTGCTCAATCTTACCATGAAGAAGAGAAGACTGCATGTTGACAGAATCTAGTTGAATACCCATAAAAATGGACCCAAGCCCAGGATCCAGCTTCCACTGGGTGGACCTCTCCTACTCCAGAGAGTCTAGCAGGTATAGCGGTGTAGCTCCTACACAGCTATACCTGCTGTATATCAGTATAGCAATCCAAAGCTGGTATAGCTGTTCCATACAATTACGAGACAAGAAAGATTCTATGTACAGGCACTCTTTCATCCGTATTGGTGCAAAGTATCAATGTGGCCCATTTACCTCAAAAAATACAAAATACCAAAAAATGATACTGCACTCAAAAAAAACTTTAGATAAAGTTCATTACTTCATTTAATAATTCATTGTGATATTATATAGACATAATTCATTGATTACAAAAAATATACTCCTAAATCAATAAATTGATAATATATACACTTGAAGTTACGAGACAAGTCAGTGTTTGGAGGGAGAAGTGAACTGACTAAAATGGGACCACACTTGGCCTTATATGCAAGTCTCCATGCAAGGGTCACTCCCCCCTGGACCTGAGAGTAAACCACAGAAGAAACAAACACATAATTACCTCCAATTAGAAAAAAAAAAAACACTTTTTTCCAAAAAACCCAAAAGTACCCAAAAAACACATAAAACCCCACAAAATTTACATCAAGCTACCGAACAGACAGGCAAATGGAACAGAAAGCTTTTTAAATCCAGGGACAAGGAATCTGTCACAGGGGAGACCGGTATACCCATGGATTCAAAAAGACAGATTGCTGCTGTCAGACTGCAAGTGGTTTGGAAGATGTCTTCAATTGTGTGGAAATCATCAAAATAGTGTATAACAGTCGGGCATCTGCACACATCAAGTAGCAACGAGCACAACGTTTTCGCAAAATATTGAATATCTTGGAGCTACCTTGGAACTGAACGTACGCCGGGAGAAAATAATATAAACCCTGCCACTGGATGTTGTGCAAATAGTAAATAAATTGTAAAAAATAGGAAATAGTTTAAACGCATATGACAAAATCAGATTTATTGAGCCATGCACCCACCCCAGCTTCAAGAATGGCGCAGATGACCTTGTCAATGGTGTAGCATTGCAAGGAGAACCTTCTGAGGGTATGAGGGAGTTAAGACTAGGAACCATGAAGGAATGTGGTACTGATGTGGTCAATGATCAATCTGTGTTTATGTGAAGATTTACCAGTGACTATACCAATAGAGTGTGTCCCCCAAGAAGTAAAGAAGGGGAACTGAAATGCCAAGAAACAATTCCCTGTTCCAACTCAGTCTTATTAACTTATCTGCACAAAAAAAGATCAAGTAAAGTGGCGCTACAATATTATTCTAAAAGTATTAAAGAGATGTAAAACTATTGTACAAAAAAAGCAATACCTTAAGTGCAATAGCCCATAAATACACTCATTCAAATATAAAACAACAAATAAAGTGCGCTGTGTCTTTAATACTTAACACATTTTATAAAACAGTGCAAATAATTATTTTAAGTGCATACACATATATAAAGTGTCAATGTGCAAATATTATATTAGCGATGTGCACTCCTTTGCCTAAGTGCTTCAAGTGAAATGAATAAAAACTTAAGTTGTAAGAGCGCGTTGAGTGGCAGTATTTGTTTGAAGGACCATGTTTCAGTTATAACCAGAAATGTGAGCTGATGGTTTAAAGGACCACTATAGTGCCTCCTCCTATCCTCCTCCGTTCCTCCCATTCAGCTGAATGGGCACGCGTGGCAAGAGCTGCACGCGCATTCAGCCGGTCTCATAGAAAAGCATTTACAATGCTTTCCTATGGACGCTTGCATGCTCTCACTGTGATTTTCACAGTTAGAATCATGCAAGCGCCTCTAGCGGCTGTCAACGAGACAGCCGCTAGAGGAATTGGAGGAAGGATGAACCCATTTGTAAACATAGCAGTTTCTCTGAAACTGCTATGTTTATAAAAAAAATGGGTTAACCCTAGAGGAACCTGGCACCCAGACCACTTCATTAAAGGACCACTCTAGGCACCCAGACCACTTCAGCTTAATGAAGTGGTCTGGGTGCCAGGTCCAGCTAGGGTTAACCCATTTTTCATAAACATAGCAGTTTCAGAGAAACTGCTATGTTTATGAATGGGTTAAGCCTTCCCCTATTTCCTCTAGCGGCTGTCTCATTGACAGCCGCTAGAGGCACTGAAAATCACAGTGAGAGCACGCCAGCGTCCATAGGAAAGCATTATGAATGCTTTCCTATGTGACCGGCTGAATGCGCGCGCAGCCAGCCGACGGGGAGGAGAGAAGGAGGATCGGAGGAGGAGAGCTCTCCACCCAGCGCTGGAAAAGGTAAGTTTACCCCTTTCCCCCTTCCAGAGCCGGGCGGGAGGGGGACCCCGAGGGTGGGGGCACAGGGCACTATAGTGCCAGGAAAACGAGTATGTTTTCCTGGTACTGTAGTGGTCCTTTAAGCTGAAGTGGTCTGGGTGCCTAGAGTGGTCCTTTAAGAAAAAAATCTAGGGGAAAGGTTGTCTTATTGCACAATAATCTAGCCATCCAAAATTAGAAGGGGAGCTTGATAGTAGAAGGTAAGTAGTACAGAGCAGTCAGATTGACCTGGTAGCTGGAGGGTAGAAGAGATTATTTACATTTGCATGGTGTTTATTAGACTATAAACACTGTATTATATTCAATAATATTTGTATATTAAATATATAATATATAAAAAGAGATTTTTTTTATTTTATTTTTTTTACAATTGTTCACTTCTCCTTAATCTGTGAATAAAATCAACTTTTTTTTCCCCCCATCAATTAACTCGTTTTTTGGTGGCAAGGGCAGAATCACCCATCAGCATAAATTCAGACATATTGCAGTTTGGAATGAAGTCTAGCGTTGATAATGTGCCTTGTTTTAGGGATGGGGATTGCTGCACGAGGCATAGTAGGCTGAAGGGAAGTGACATATGATGAAACTAATTTAGTTATCTGCAATCTCTCCTTTATCTTTTATTAGTACATTAAGCTGTGAGACAACCTGGAAGCCATCTGGAAAGGTTGGGGAGTCTGCTCACATGATTGAGTCAATTAGTGAGGTGAATAGATCATTGGATTAAGTAGTAGGTGTTGGTAAATTGATCGCTATTGGTGCACATGATGCTATTAACTCTATAAAACAAAACAAATCCCCGGGGTGGGTTGGTGTGAACCAAGTATATACCGCATCAGGTCTACAGGGCAATGCTATGTTGTTTCTGATTATTTTTTTTCTCTGTGCTATCATTAGAAAAAAGCAGTGCATTACATAATCTTCAAAGCAGGAGGGAGGGATAGAGATATGTGGAATCACTGGTGAGAGGGTACGTAATCATAGGAATATATTGAGCTAATAACAGGTTTGCTAATAAATGGTTTCATAGTGAACAGTAATAGAGTTAGAATAACGAGGACAAAATTCTACAATGGATTAAAGAATTTAGAGCATGGGTCCTCAAACCCCAGCGGCAGCTCTGCAGGCTCTCTGTGTATCTGTGTTCAGGGCTCTCTCTGTATTAAACCCTTAGACTCTGTCCTTCTCAGTGCTGTGATTAGTGACAGCTCTGCAGGCTCTCTGTGTATCTGTGTTCAGGGCTCTCTCTCTGTATTAAACCCTGAGACTCTGTCCTTCTCAGTGCTGTGATTAGCGGCAGCCCTGCAGGCTCTCTGTGTATCTGTGTTCAGGGCTCTCTCTGTATTAAACCCTGAGACTCTGTCCTTCTCAGTGCTGTGATTAGCGACAGCTCTGCAGGCTCTCTGTGTATCTGTGTTCAGGGCTCTCTCTGTATTAAACCCTGAGACTCTGTCTTTCTCAGTGCTGTGATTAGCGGCAGCTCTGCAGGTTCTCTGTGTATCTGTGTTCAGGGCTCTCTCAGTATTAAACCCTGAGACTCTGTCCTTCTCAGTGCTGTGATTAGGGGCAGCTCTGCAGGCTCTCTGTGTATCTGTGTTCAGGGCTCTCTCTGTATTAAACCCTGAGACTCTGTCCTTCTCCGTGCTGTGATTAGGGGCAGCTCTGCAGGCTCTCTGTGTATCTGTGTTCAGGGCTCTCTCTCTGTATTAAACCCTGAGACTCTGTCCTTCTTGGTGCTGTGATTAGTGGCAGCTCTGCAGGCTCTCTTTATATCTGTGTTCAGGGCTCTCTCTGTATTAAACCCTGAGACTCTGTCCTTCTCAGTGCTGTGATTAGGGGCAGCTCTGCAGGCTCTCTGTGTATCTGTGTTCAGGGCTCTCTCTGTATTAAACCCTGAGACTCTGTCCTTCTCCGTGCTGTGATTAGCGGCAGCTCTGTAGTATCTCTGTGTATCTGTGTTCAGGGCTCTCTCTCTGTATTAAACCCTGAGACTCTGTCCTTCTCAGTGCTGTGATTAGTGGCAGCTCTGCAGGCTCTCTGTGTATCTGTGTCCAGGGCTCTCTCTCTGTATTAAACCCTGAGACTCTGTCCTTCTCAGTGCTGTGATTAGCAGCAGCTCTGCAGGCTCTCTGTGTATCTGTGTTCAGGGCTCTCTCTGTATTAAACCCTGAGACTCTGTCCTTCTCAGTGCTGTGATTAGCGGCAGCTCTGCAGGCTCTCTGTGTATCTGTGTTCAGGGCTCTCTCTCTGTATTAAACCCTGAGACTCTGTCCTTCTCAGTGCGGTGATTAGGGGCAGCTCTGCAGGCTCTCTGTGTATCTGTGTTCAGGGCTCTCTCTGTATTAAACCCTGAGACTCTGTCCTTCTCCGTGCTGTGATTAGCGGCAGCTCTGCAGGCTCTCTGTGTATCTGTGTTCAGGGCTCTCTCTCTGTATTAAACCCTGAGACTCTGTCCTTCTCAGTGCTGTGATTAGCGGCAGCTCTGCAGGCTCTCTCTGTATTAAACCCTGAGACTCTGTCCTTCTCAGTGCTGTGATTAGCGGCAGGCTCTGCAAGCTCTCTGTATCTGTGTTCAGGGCTCTCTCTGTATTAAACCCTGAGACTCTGTCCTTCTCAGTGCTGTGATTAGCGGCAGGCTCTGCAAGCTCTCTGTGTATCTGTGTTCAGGGCTCTCTCTGCATTAAACCCTGAGACTCTGTCCTTCTCAGTGCTGTGATTAGCGGCAGCTCTGCAGGCTCTCTGTGTATCTGTGTTCAGGGCTCTCTCTGTATTAAACCCTGAGACTCTGTCCTTCTCAGTGCTGTGATTAGCGGCAGCTCTGCAGGCTCTCTGTGTATCTGTGTTCAGGGCTCTCTCTGTATTAAACCCTGAGACTCTGTCCTTCTCAGTGCTGTGATTAGCGGCAGCTCTGCAGGCTCTCTGTGTATCTGTGTTCAGGGCTCTCTGTATTAAACCCTGAGACTGTCCTGCAGGCTCTCTGTGTATCTGTGTTCAGGGCTGTATTAAACTCTGAGACTCTGTCCGTCTCAGTGCTGTGATTAGCGGCAGCTCTGCAGGCTCTCTGTGTATCTGTGTTCAGGGCTCTCTCTGTATTAAACCCTGAGACTCTGTCCTTCTCAGTGCTGTGATTAGTGGCAGCTCTTCAGGCTCTCTGTGTATCTGTGTTCAGGGCTCTCTCTGTATTAAACCCTGAGACTCTGTCCCTCTCAGTGCTGTGATTAGTGGCAGCTCTGCAGGCTCTCTGTGTATCTGTGTTCAGGGCTCTCAATGTATTAAACCCTGAGACTCTGTCCTTCTCAGTGCTGTGTTTAGCGGCAGCTCTGCAGGCTCTCTGTGTATCTGTGTTCAGGGCTCTCTCTGTATTAAACCCCGAGACTCTGTCCCTCTCAGTGCTGTGATTAGGGGCAGCTCTGCAGGCTCTCTGTGTATCTGTGTTCAGGGCTCTCTCTGTATTAAACCCTGAGACTCTGTCCTTCTCAGTGCTGTGATTAGCGGCAGCTCTGCAGGCTCTCTGTGTATCTGTGTTCAGGGCTCTCTCTGTATTAAACCCTGAGACTCTGTCCTTCTCAGTGCTGTGATTAGTAGCAGCTCTGCAGGCTCTCTGTGTATCTGTGTTCAGGGCTCTCTCTGTATTAAACCCTGAGACTCTGTCCTTCTCAGTGCTGTGATTAGCGGCAGCTCTGCAGGCTCTCTGTGTATCTGTGTTCAGGGCTCTCTCTGTATTAAACCCTGAGACTCTGTCCTTCTCAGTGCTGTGATTAGTGGCAGCTCTGCAGGCTCTCTGTGTATCTGTGTTCAGGGCTCTCTCTGTATTAAACCCTGAGACTCTGTCCTTCTCAGTGCTGTGATTAGCGGCAGCTCTGCAGGCTCTCTGTGTATCTGTGTTCAGGGCTCTCTCTGTATTAAACCTGAGACTCTGTCCTTCTCAGTGCTGTGATTAGTGGCAGCTCTTCAGGCTCTCTGTGTATCTGTGTTCAGGGCTCTCTCTGTATTAAACCCTGAGACTCTGTCCTTCTGCAGTGCAGCTCTGGCTCTCTGTGTATCTAGGGCAGCAGCTCTGCCTTCTCAGTGCTGTGATTAGCTCTGCAAGCTCTCTGTGTATCTGTGTTCAGGGCTCTCTCTGTATTAAACCCTGAGACTCTGTCCTTCTCAGTGCTGTGATTAGCGGCAGCTCTGCAGGCTCTCTGTGTATCTGTGTTCAGGGCTCTCTCTGTATTAAACCCTGAGACTCTGTCCTTCTCAGTGCTGTGATTAGTAGCAGCTCTGCAGGCTCTCTGTGTATCTGTGTTCAGGGCTCTCTCTGTATTAAACCCTGAGACTCTGTCCTTCTCAGTGCTGTGATTAGTGACAGCTCTGCAGGCTCTCTGTGTATCTGTGTTCAGGGCTCTCTCTGTGTATTAAACCCTGAGACTCTGTCCTTCTCAGTGCGGTGATTAGGGGCAGCTCTGCAGGCTCTCTGTATATCTGTGTTCAGGGCTCTCTCAGTATAAACCCTGAGACTCTGTCCTTCTCAGTGCTGTGATTAGCGGCAGCTCTGCAGGCTCTCTGTGTATCTGTGTTCAGGGCTCTCTCTGTATTAAACCCTGAGACTCTGTCCTTCTCAGTGCTGTGATTAGCGGCAGCTCTGCAGGCTCTCTGTGTATCTGTGTTCAGGGCTCTCTCTGTATTATACCCTGAGACTCTGTCCTTCTCAGTGCTGTGATTAGTGACAGCTCTGCAGGCTCTCTGTGTATCTCTGTTCAGGGCTCTCTCTGTATTAAACCCTGAGACTCTGTCCTTCTCAGTGCTGTGATTAGTGGCAGCTCTGCAGGCTCTCTGTGTATCTCTGTTCAGGGCTCTCTCTGTATTAAACCCTGAGACTCTGTCCTTCTCAGTGCTGTGATTAGTGACAGCTCTGCAGGCTCTCTGTGTATCTGTGTTCAGGGCTCTCTATGTATTAAACCCTGAGACTCTGTCCGTCTCAGTGCTGTGATTAGCGGCAGCTCTGCAGGCTCTCTGTGTATCTGTGTTCAGGGCTCTCTCTGTATTAAACCCTGAGACTCTGTCCTTCTCAGTGCTGTGATTAGTGACAGCTCTGCAGGCTCTCTGTGTATCTGTGTTCAGGGCTCTCTCTGTGTATTAAACCCTGAGACTCTGTCCTTCTCAGTGCGGTGATTAGGGGCAGCTCTGCAGGCTCTCTGTATATCTGTGTTCAGGGCTCTCTCAGTATAAACCCTGAGACTCTGTCCTTCTCAGTGCTGTGATTAGCGGCAGCTCTGCAGGCTCTCTGTGTATCTGTGTTCAGGGCTCTCTCTGTATTAAACCCTGAGACTCTGTCCTTCTTGGTGCTATGATTAGTGACAGCTCTGCAGGCTCTCTGTGTATCTGTGTTCAGGGCTCTCTCTGTTAAAATGCATGGAACGTTATACCATCATCAACAAAACTCACACTTTACCAATTACCTGTGACAGGATATTCATTAGGTCTAAATATTGTCATTTTAAGGTTATATATGTGTATTAATATTTTACTAAAGGTGCTAGTTTAAGAACACTTTAATGTATTAAGGAAGAAAATCAACACAATAAAATGTTTCTATAACAAATTTCAGAATGTTAAATAAAACACAAACTGTCCATGGATTAATACTTACAATGCACAAATCTTTAATTGGTAGGTCCATGTGCCGTCATATAAAAAGCCTGTCATCAACGTATTCACTGTAAACAGCCCTCCTATCATTATGTCTCCTTCTTGATAATATTCATATTCAAATAGACATTTTTGCATTGAGAGACTACATATAGAATGGGAGTTCTGAATTTCAGGTGTTCCGGCTGTTACCCACAGTACGATCAGACAGAAAATCACGGCGAATGCATGAGAAATAGATTGGGACAGACATTGCTCCATTAGAGAGATTCTGTCCATCTGGCAAATCCTATGGTAAATCTTAGACCATATCTTATATAAAGAAATGATTCATTACACATGCCGTTTATAGTTTTCTTTTCCTGAGAGTATTAGAATTCCCCAGCAAAACACCTATAATTAGTGAACCAACTCTAAAATTAAAACAGACCAAACCGTAATTACTAAAAATTGAAAAAAGAGCGATGCACATTTGAAAATAGAATGTTTATTTTTTCCTTTACATTTCATTAGAAGTTTAAACTATCAACTTGGTTAGTATCTTAATAGATACTAATAGATACATAGAGGCTGTCAGCTACCCACTGCATATTATACTTCTAACTGGGCTTTGCCACCTTCATTCCGGTGCAATATATACAGTTGTGCTCAAACGTTTGCATACCCTGGCAGAAATTGGGAAATTTTGGCATTGATTTCTAACCCCTTAAGACCGCAGGGCGTTCTATGCCGTCCTTATTTAGATGGCTCTAAACGCCGCAGGGCAGCAATGAACGCCCTGCGATCTTTTGTACTTACCCGGTCGCCGGCGATCACGGTATGGGGACTTACCTGGGAGCCCAGGGAGTCCCCCTCCATCCTCTTTGGCCCCCCTGGGCCATGTGATCGTGAGGTCCTTGCGAGGACCCCGCGATCACATGGATGGCATAGCCGTCCAAGGCATTGCCAGCAGGGGGAGTGCCTGTAATGAGAGGTACTCCCCCTGCTGTCTGAAAATAAAATTAAAAGATGTTAAAACAGTGTAAAATTAAATAATATTTACTTGGATTATATATATATATATATATATATATATATATATATATTTTATAAACATGATCTAAGTATATATATATAATATATACACACACACACACACACACACTGTCTACGTGTATTTTAATATGAATATATACATAATTATATATTAATATCAAAATACACATACAATGATATTGATTCAATATATATAAAATGATATATATTTTCATTATATATATAATATATAAATACGTTAAAAAATAAAATTAAAAAAATTAGAAAAAATTAATAGATAAAAATATACATGCATAATTTCGTATTTTAAAAAAAAATATATATATATGTGTATGTGTGTGTGTATATATATATATATATATATATATATAGATATCAAAATACATGTAGAACGAAATAATATATATAAGTATATACGTATATATCACTATATATATACACCTATATATAAATAAAAAAAAATGATATATATACACACACACACACACACACACACACACATATACATACACACACTGTGGCAAACCTAGCCACTTTAAGACTTATTGTATAACATCAGAAGGTTGTCTGCTTTTATTGTATATAAGAATGTATTTGTGTGTGTTTGCAATAAAGAGTATTCGTATGCTAACGGCCGAAAGCCGCTAGCATTCATATGGTAGTTTCACGAACAGTGACTTTAGACACTGTTCGTGAAACGAATAAGGTACCGAGCAGGAGCCCACAGACAGAGGGTGGTGTGGCTCCCATGAACCGATTGCAATATTGTTGCAATCTGTAGTTAATTGCTTTCCTAGGTGGCCGTCGTTTGGCTACCGACCACGCGGCAGTCGGCCATCTTGGATCCTTTGTTAGCCCAGCGGTGTTTGGTCGTCGAGCGCCTGGAACTAAAATCGGCTACTCGACGGCGCGAACACTGCTGGACTTCCAGGCCGTTCGGGAACCCCGGTCTTTCGGTAGTTTGGTTCCCAATAGGTATTCTGTACTTCTAGGAGAATGTGATGTAAAAGTATGTTTCGTACGGCGTTCGGTTATTTATGCTGGGATCTGAGCGGTACTTCCATGAAGTGTGCGCTCAGACCCCAGCTATCTACCGAACGGTCATTTAAGGAAATCCCACAAATAATATTAAAGTTATGTATTTTTGTGTTAAAACCCGGTTCTGCTGTACGGAGGGATAATCCAGGATATTCTAGTGGGAGTATCCCTCACGTACAGCAGTGCATGGTGGGAGAAATGCTCTGCATATTCAGTTCCCCATGTAGTCCTCTACTGTAATACCCCTGTGAAGTGACTAAGGAAACCCCTTGCATGGGGAATTGCATAAATACTGGAGCTGTGAATAAATCTGTCAGTTGACTCCCATAACTGTGTTTCGTCCGGTTACTTGCCTACTTGGTTACTTGGGATATTGCCTTCTTTTCCAGCGCTTTACTTTGGATTACTTTCTGTACCAGCGGAGATCTTGGGATTTAATATTGCAGCTCCGCTACAATTGGTGGCAAGCGACGGGATCCAGCCTTACAGTCGAAAAGCGGTGTTCGGGTAATTGAAACTACCGAACAGGAAAGTGAATAGCAATTTGGTTGAACCCAACTCAGATGTGAATGGAGACAGACTACACTGCATTGAAATGGCAGACGTTAAAGGAACTATTGGAAGCCAGGGGTAAGATAGCCAGCAATAAGTCAAAAGCTGTGCTGATTGCCGAATTGATGGAGGGAGACAGAGCTTGCAGCGTTACGCCCCCACCAGTCATGGAAGAAACCCCCTTCCAAAAGGAAATGAGGACCAGGATGGAATTTTTACTCCAGCCAGTACCACTGGAAACACTGACCGTACTGATGGTGGATGTGCAGAAGTATGTGATGGCACACAGACCACAGGATTCCCCTTCCAGAGCAGAATCCATTACTGCTTCGGTTGTCAGCTAGGTAAAGCCTAAGATCCCATACCATGCTTTTAAAATGTTTTGTGAAGAGAAAGACGAGATTGATGGGTATCTACAAGACTTTGAGAAGCTATGTGACTTGCATGATTTGGAGCAGGCAGTGTGGGTACCGTTACTGGAAGGCAAACTTTCAGGTCGGGCAGCAGAAGTCAATCGGGCTGTACCCAGGGAGGACAGCAAATATTATGCCCGGGTAAAACAGGCTATACTAGAAAGATATGCCATTACCCCGGAGGCATACCGGCGCAAGTTTTGAGGGTTGCGGAAACCAGAGAAACATTCACACACAGAGTGGGCCCTCAAACTGGACCAAGCCTCCCAGGGGTGGATACAAGCCAGTGAAGCAACCACCATGGTGGAGTTACAGCAATTGCTGCTGTTGGAACAATTTTTCAATGGCCTGTCCCCAGAGGCACAGGAATGGGTGAGAGACAGAAAACTCCTCACCCTAACAGAAGCTGCATGACCAGCCGGCCAGCACTATGACGCCAGGAGGCATCAACTGAGGGTACCCTCGACCCACCACTCAGCCTCATACAGCTACCCCTACTGCACCTACATCAACCCCATTCCAGCCAACCCTGGGGGGCACACTCCACCATCCAGATATAATGGCAGAGCGAATATCCAGTGCCATACGTGCAAACAATGGGGCCACATGGCGAGAGAATGTACCCAGAACCGGAGCCGTCAAGCATGGTGCCAAGTACAGCCGAACCCAGCACCAAGAGCCGCCGCCCACCACTACCAAGCGGAGCCAGCAACCCAGGAGATACTCTTTAAACAGACAGAAGAGCCCCTGGGAATACTACATGATGTGATGTCAGTACAAGCCACAGACAACCGGCAACACAATCGCCAGCTAGTAACCCTGGAAGGGAAAGAGGTCCAAGGGCTCCGGGATTCGGGGGCCACTCTGACTCTGGTTGCCCCTCATTTGGTTCCAGGCTCAGCACATACCGGCGGATCCGTAGCAGTGCGAGTAGCAGGGGGAGCGGTATACAGATTACCCACCACAAAAGTACATTAGAATTGGGGTGTTGGGGAAGGGATGGTAGAGGTGGGCCTGATGCAGAAGCTTCCGGTGGATGTCGTATTGGGGAACAACCTGGGTCGAATGACTTCCGCCTTTATACCTCAAGCTCCACTCCAAGAGGCCCACCCAGTAACCACAAGGCAACAGGCTCGCACCACGGCTCCATCAACGCACTCTGAGGCTCAGGTAAGAGACAGTAACCCTCCTACAACCCGTGTTACCTGGGATACCCCTACTGAATTTGAGGCCGAGGTTAAGATAGACCCTCAGGTTAAAAGTGTACAGGGATAAGGTGATCTCCGACCAGGCCGGATTAGAGGGAGAGCGGTATACCTGTGAAAATGGGTTACTGTACAGTATTGCTGAAAGGGTGGTAGGGGGATCGGTAAATGTGACTACTAGACAGCTAGTAGTCCCCCAGAAATATAGGCAGGAACTTCTTCGGATAGCCCACGACATCCCCTTGTCTGGGCATCTGGGGATGACTCGATACCGCTTGAGTGCGAGTCATCCAAGGATGTGTGGCAATACTGCCAGACATGTGACATCTGTCAGCGAGTAGGCAAGAGGGGTGACCGCCACAAGGCCAAGTTATGCCCACTGCCCATGATAGAAGAACCATTTAGTAGAGTGGCTGCAGATATAGTAGGACCCTTACCAAAACCCAGTCCCTCCGGCAAGAGATATATCTTAATATCATAGTAAACCCCAAAGCAGTAGCCCTCTCCAATATCCACACCGAGACAGTGGCTTAGGCCTTAATGAAAGTATTCTCAAGAGTGGGGTTCCCCCTGGAGATCGTATCAGATAGGGGTACGCAGTTCATGGCCGAGGTGACCCACCAACTATGGAGAATATGTGGCATTAAGCCTATTGTGAACTCTGCATACCACCCTCAGTCTAATGGGTTATGTGAAAGGTTTAATGGGACATTAAAGCAGATGCTCTGTACCTTTGGAGAGGCCCATAAGGACTAGGATCGATTCCTACCCCATCTGCTATTCGCATACAGAGAGGTACCCCAAGAGTCTACGGGATTTTCTCCCTTTGAATTACTGTTTGGAAGAAGGGTGCGAGGGCCTTTAGATTTAATTAGGGAGCAGTGGGAGGGGGAAAGTAGAACAGATGGGACACCCATTGTACCATATCTGCTGGAGTTCAGGGACCGCTTGGAGGCACTAACACAGACCGTACGGGTCAACCTCCAGGCGGCTCAACAATACCAGCACCGATGGTATGATAGGGTAGCCAGGGACCACAGCTTTCAAGTGGGACAGAAAGTCTTTTAAAACCTGTTCGCAATGACAAGCTGCAGGCCATCTGGCAAGGCCCATACCAGGTGGTGGAACAGAGATGTGACACTACCCATGTCATTGGCCCCTGCTCAGGGACAGGGAAGAGACGCATGCTCCACGTGAACATGCTCAAACCCTACCATGAGAGGACAGAGGACGTGGCGGCGATATGCGCCTCAGCCTCTGAGGATTAGGAGAATCTGCCGCTACCTGACTTATTGGAGCGAGAAGATCAGGCAGAGCCATCCACAGGTGTTCAGCTGGTGGAGCGGCTAAGCCCCCAGGAGCGTGCCCAGGTACAGGAGTTAATAGCGGCTAAGGAAGCCACTTTCTCCAATTTACCAGGGTACACCCCGCTAGCTACTCACCGAGTCGAGACCCCCGAACAGCTACCTATGTGGCAGACCCCATACCCTATCCCGGAAGCAGTCAGGGAACAAATGAGGAAGGAAATTGAGGAAATGTTGCAGCTAGGGGTTATTGAACATTCTGATAGCCCCTGGGAATCGCCGGTAGTGCTGGTACCCAAGAAGGATGGCACAACACGCTTTTGTGTAGACTACCTGAGGCTAAATGACAAAACAGTGTCTGATGCCTACCCAATGCCCCGGATAGACGAGATGCTAGACAAAATGGCACGAGGCCAGTACCTCACTACAATAGATTTATGCAAAGGGTACTGGCAGATTCCACTAGCCGAGGATGCCATTCCCAAGTCGGCATTTGTCACCACGTTTGGCCTGTACCAGTTTCGAGTCATGCCATTTGGGATGAAAAATGCTCCGGCTACCTTTCAACGGATGGTGGATTGGCTACTGGATGGGTTCCAGGAGTATGCATGTGCATACCTGGATGATATCACCATTTACAGCCAGACCTGGTCAGACCACCTGCGACATATTGGAGCAGTCATTGACCGTATCGGAGAGGCAGGGTTGATGCTGAAGCTCAGCAAGTGTCACATAGGGATGGCAGAGGTGCAGTACTTGGGGCACCGGGTAGGGAGTGGACAGCAAAAGCCCGAACCAGCAAAAATCGAAGCAGTAGCTAAGTGGCCTACCCCCCGGACAAAAAAAACAAGTGCTAGCCTTCCTGGGTACCCAATTATAGTGCCCTGGCCAAACCACTGACTGACTTGACCTGCAAAAACCTTCCTCGATAGGTCATCTGGGCCCCAGAGTGTGATCAGGCATTCCAACGACTCAAGACTGCGTTAACCAATGCACCTGTTCTTGCTGCTCCTGATCCAACTAAACAATTTCTTGTCCACATAGACGCTTCAATGTTTGGATTGGGAGCAGTGCTGAGCCAAGTTGGAGCAGATGGCGGAGAACATCCCGTAGGAATTTCAATGTGAAAAAACTGAAATATGTAACACGCTATATTTGACCCTGTAACTTACCAAAACACCATAAAACCTGTACATAGGGCGTATGGTTTTACACGTGAGACATTGCTGAATACAAATTTGTGTATGTTACTGCAGTAAAAGCAAACAGTATTTTGACATTCACAGTTAAAATGTCACGTAGACATTGGCGGATCCAGGGGGGGGGGGCAACGGGGCAATTGCCCCCCGAGATTCCCTGCCCTAACGCAGGGCTGGCATTGCCCAAGTTAATATTTATTTTATTAAAAAAAATTATTAAAAATGATTATTAATTATTATTAAAAAGCCCCCCCCCCCCCCCCCCATTACACACACTGCCCCATTACAGGGGCTCAGTGTGTGTGTGTATGGGGATAGTGTTTGTGGGGCAGTGTGTGTAATGGGGGGGGGAGGAGGTTTTTTTATAATAAATTTTTAAAATAAATATTCTGCCCCACAAACACTGTCCCCATACACACACTGCCCCCATACACACACTGCCCCACAAACACTGCCCCCCATACACACACTGCCCCACAAACACTGTCCCCATGCACACACTGCCCCACAAACACTGTCCCCGTACACACACTGCCCCCCATACACACACTGCCCCACAAACACTGTCCCCATACACACACTGCCCCACAAACACACACTGCCCCACAAACATTGTCCCCCCATACACACACTGTCCCCCATACACACACTGCCCCACAAACACTGTCCCCTATACACACACACACTGCCTCTATACACACACTGGCCCACAAACACTGTCCCCTATACACACACACTGCCCCACAAACACTGTCCCCATACACACACTGCCCCCCATACACACACTGCCCCACAAACACTGTCCCTATACACACACTGCCCCACAAACACACTGCCCCATACACACACTACACCCCACAAACACTGTCCCCATACACACACTGCCCCCCATACACACACACTGCCCCCACAAACACTGTCCTTACACACACTGCCCCCCATCTACACACACTGCCCCCACAAACACTGTCCCCATACACACACACACACACTGCCCCCCATTCACACACTGCCCCACAAACACTGTCCCCATACACACACCGCCCCCCCATACACACACTGCCCCACATGTCCCTTCTACACACACTGCCCCACAAACACTGTCCCCATACACACACTGCCCCCATACACACACACTGCCCCCACACACGCCCCACAAACACTGTCCCCATACACACACTGCCCCCCATACACACACTGC